AGAAATTCGTCTGAAGATGGTAAATCAGACATTGGAGACAGTGGTGGTTCGATGGCCCACTGCCTGATCTGTCGGTGATGATCAGTGTCGTTTTCCGGCCGATCGTCAGGTACGAGTGATTCTAAAAGATATTTTGCTGTTTCTTCTACTCCTGTGGTATATCTGTTATTAATTTTGATGTTCTGTATGTATGCAAGGTCGATTGATCTATTTGCCTTAAATTCGTGATACAAAGGTGACCACGGGCCCTCTCTATCGAGTCTATCGACAAGTTTCTGAATTAAGTTTCCCTTCGATTTTTCCACTGCAGCTCTGTAGTGGGACCTGGCAACTCTAAGAGCAATGAGAGCATTATTGTACAAATCTCCTGTTACGTTGTGTTTTTTAAAATTGTTTAATTTTCTACGAGCTTTCCGGTAGCTTCTACGTAGTTCGACTAATCTATCATTCCACCAATCACATCTACGAGTGTTAGTGATAGATACGCGACCAATAGATACATCAGCGCAGTATGTGAAAGTTTCTGATAGTATTTCTGCGCTTTCCTCAGCTGATAAACTACTGCGACTGAAGTCTTTGGTATGAGTTGCAAATAGTGAACCAAACAAAGCCCAGTTCGCACCTTTAGTTTTATATCTAAAATTAAAAGGAGCCCTTTGTGGATCCCGTGCAAGCCTTGGTATGAATTCGTACACGATCAAGCGATGATCACTACAGGATGCGTCCGGGAGGACACGCCATCCGGATATCGAGACGTCGCCGCGCGTAAGCGTCACGTCAATAGAAGACTCACCATAATGAAGACCAGACATAATGAAGACCAGACATAATGAAGATGACGCATTGACATCAGCGCCAATGATAATTTTATGTCCCACGAGGTACTGCAAGACGTAACGTAAGTGATGTAAGTGAGGATCAATAGGATGTGAATATTGGAAATAGCAGCTCACTACGTAAACCTTACAGGTAGAGGATGAGATCTCAGCAACGGCGCAGTGTGACGTCATAAGTTTACGCAAAGATGTTACCGTAAAATTAGAACTTGCAACATATATCCCAGCCTGCGAACGGCAGTCAAGCTGTACTACATTACGACGCAAGCGAGCGCTCTGATATTGTTCTTGTATAAGGACAATGTCTAACTTTTGTTCTAAAATTAAACGGTCTAATTCTGATGTGGCTATTTTATCGTTATGAAGATTTAACTGGCCTATCGAAATATTATCCATCACTTAGTAAGTTACTCTATAAAACTTTTTTTTTTTTTTTTTTTTTTTTTTTAAACTGTATTAAACTATTCAGTAATTGGTATTTAATATTAGCTGCTCCAGTTTTAATTTGTATGTGGCACAGTCGTGTGAGCCGCATCGATGGTCAGATGGTTTTTTGAACCGCCTGCACTGTGCACACGTGGGCTTAAAATTTGGTGTGTCTTTATCTGGGCAAACTCGCGTTTCGTGTGCGGCGGCGCAATTAGCACAAGTAGGGGTTTTAATGGTGCAAAACTTTTGTACATGACCGAATTGCTGACAATTTAAGCAACGAACTACTTCTATATCGTCTATGAATCGACAAGTGGCCCAGTCTATATAAAGTTTATCTTTTGTGTTGGCTAGATGTTTCCGAACTGCTGCCTCCAATTCTAAGCCTATCCATTGACGCCCATTTTCTAGTTTACGATGCCTAACAATTTTGGTTGACTTAATAAAATCGTTCTCACTTAATTTTAATTCGTCCTTGATATTCTGACGGTATAAAGCTGTTAGGAAGGCACGATCTTCCATAGAACCGGGTACGTCTTTTACAATTATACGGGGCTTTCGGCCTTTCGGTTTTTCTAATCGTAAACCTGCTGATTTAATGGCGTCTACAGATTCCAGTTTCTTAAGCTGCCGTTCGTTAGCTACACGTAACACGACGCCTGCCTTAGAGGTTTTTTTAACGCCTACAATTTGGAAACCCTCATCGCTCGGTTTAATAGCGTTCATAAGAGCTTGTTTCGTTGCTGACGAGGTCGCATAGTCCGCTAAGCGTTCCGTAGTGGGATAGGCAATAACACAAGGCCTAGGAACGCGCGCTTCAGTAGGTACCGGGCACGGGGCAGATTTAGGTGGTAAGCGAAGCTTAAGTTTGTCCGCGTACGTTAAACTCGTTTGTTGAGTTGCGATACCCTCCATTTGTCGCTCAAAATTCGCTAACTTCGCTTCGTTGCTAAAGGATTTTATTGCTAACATTGATACGATACCGGTAATTCGTTGAGTAATATCCATAATCGCCGTTTTATTCCCTACATTCATCCGAGATCCCTGATCATTAACTAATTCATTAATTTTTGATAAGTAATCGGTGGCCTGTGACACTAAGTCACAGTAATTGTACTCCCCACAGTTATCACGACCGGTAGGAGACGAAACATTTCCACTTAAGTCCGAATTAATAATGCGTCTACGGCTTCCGTCTTTCGGCGTGAAATCCGCAGGTGACACTTCGCCAAATGTCCTTTTGCCGGTTGGTGTTAGAAATTCACTTGTACCGCCGGGATCCGGCAACTCGCTAACGACGGACATAGCCAAACAAAGACACACCAATCAACAATTTAAAAAAGAAAAAAAAAACAAGCTTAAAAATAAACAATACGCAGAGAAAAATCAATTTAAACAAAGGATACCGCCTACCCACTTTTAGTAAGATAATAAATTTACTCACCAATAGTCGTAATAAAAGAATTCGGCACTATATTTATGTTTAGAAAACAATAAAACTTACTGAAATTCTTTAGAAACACTATACACAACCTTTAGCCGCCCGCAAACCGGAAACTAGTCACATAAAAGCACAGAAAACAATATTAAAATTGTTAGCATACGAAGTCACACGTTAGTCGCACGGTGCCGCGGGTGCCGCGAAGGGAAGTCCTATCTGTAATATATAGCCAACTTACTGTAATTGGTGTAAAATAAAGCATATTCTATTCTATTAAACCGGGTTTAAACCTATTTATTCGTTCCCACATGTTTTTATACAGGTGTTTACTGATTTTGCTGTTTTAATAGTCGTAAATGTGAACATCAATGAATAAACTACTATGTACTCTTTTCTACTCTCATGTCTTTTTGTTAAAATCTTGCTACCTGAAACTGGCTAAAGCGGACGGATTGTAAAGCAAAAGTATGGAGCTCTAGAGCAAACAATTTGTTTTGCGCTACCTGGGGGAAATTAAACCAGTTGTGTGGTAAAAAGGTAAATGCAGTTCTAAAAAATTAAATAAAGTGGCATTTAAGAATTCCAACTGCACCATATAGATCTGCAGCTTTCTGAGAGCAGTATGAATGTATGAGAGCTTTTGCGTTAAATGTGCGTTCTGACGCACATTTAACGCAAAAGCTCACATAAATTTTGTTAAACAGAATCGACTTATTCTGCAGTAAGACGATTCTGTTTTACGACGAGACCTGCTGATCTGCAGACCTTTATTTTATATAATTAGAGTTTATTAAATAAAAATATATTAAATGAATGCTTAAGCACCGATGAACAGGTCAGTGCAACAACTCCTTAGGAAAGTTCACTGGTTAGAATTGACGTTAATGAAAGTGAGGTGGTCGAGGCATCATCTAAATGTATGGTAACAACACGAGAATATGAATCGGAATTCGTCGTTTGTGACAATTCTGAGGGTGATTTATTTACATATCGTATGTTCATGTTGTATATAAAAAAATGTATGTACTTATTTGGTTTATTTAGGCAAATTAAACCCATCGTCAGAACAGGATTATGATGAAAATAGAAATAATCTCGTTGCACATAAATCCTTTCAAAAAAATTCTATTTGGTGTACCTACCCAATAGAATTTTTTGAAAGGATAGGATAAATAGACGATAAAGTTCAATCAAGACGAGACCAAAGAAACAAGCATTTGGTTGAAAAGTAAGCTGCGACGGCTATGGATGCGTCTAATCATTCCTAGATCATAAAAAGTTTAGAAACAGGTGAAATCCTTCCAACTGAAATATAAATAATATTATTTTATTGCCTTTATTGCCATTTCAAATAAATCACAATATAGTAATAACTACTATGTGATCTAATCGAAAGGCAATAATTGAAACATTTGATGTCTGAAGTGATAGCGTGCTCGATAAAACCAAAAAACAATTTATTAGTAGTTTTTAGGGTGTTAATAGTAAAAACCCGCCATTTGGGTTTAAACCCGTTCCTTCAAAAAAAATAATTAAAAGCCTAGTCTGCCCATCTCAAAAGTAATCGCTTGCTGCAGGTGTAACATTGCTTGCATTGCTACTTTTAAAAATAAACCTTTACTACATAGATGGTGCAATAGTTTAATGGATTCCTTTTAAACAAAGGCAGTGTTTAATATTGTAGTTATTTGTGTGATCTATAGATATTTTCTGACTTGGCTGACGCTGGCTATAGAAACTATAATCTTTAATTGCATTTTTCTAAACTCTAGCACGAGACGGAGAACATTTCTCAGTTCTATGTTTGTCGTGAAAATTTTATGTCAAAGTACTGTAAGCTTAGCCATTTATATTGATAATTAACTAATACGCATAAAACAGTTCCATAATCTTTTCTTAAGCACAGTTTTTAGTGAATATTATTCAGAACAAGAACGCAATTCAAGCGCTCTTGCAACCTCGGGTAAAGTATTTGAACGTTATCCATGGGAGCAACAGAATTTTTTGATGAACCGTTATCAAAAATATCTGTCAAACACAAAACGTATCAATTGAAAGTAGATTTCTAATATTTCTTGTACCTAGTTATCTTTAAAGCACCTTTGGTTGAATAAAAAAACTGGAAAAAAAAACTACCATAGCCAATGTGTTCATTATTTTTAATCTATATTAAAAATGCTTTATATTCTTTTTGCACAGTGGCAATTATTGTGTCAGTCTGTCTATGACCAATGTTTGAGTGATTTGTCGCAATCGCAAATGTCATAGTATTTTTTGAGCTCAATAATATCAGAATGGCAGAAAACAGAGAAGAAATTCTAGCAAATTTTCAGGTAAAAGTGCGATGTTCAATTTCCATTGTCTGTATAATGTTTACCGAAACCCTTTTACGTAGTGCAAAGGTTATGTAGGGAATAACAACAGTGACTCTTACTTCTACTTTATCTCTTTGTGCCCTGGTCTTATCGAAATATTTCAAGACATTTTCAAATTTTCTTTGTCTCTTTTGTGATAATGCATAGGTTTTCTGAATGTGAATCATGCTTATGACACGTGTTATAAATTTCAAGTTTAGTCTTTATTGTTTCTTTGTCATTTGTTAGAGTTAACTTCCTTGAAATAAGCAATTACAAGGTAAACCTTGTTGTCGGTGTTTACTACTTTACCCAAGTGCGTAGTATATCTAATTATGGTATTAATATGTTTCATTATGTTAAATATATTTTAGGGTATAACAGCCATAGAAAATGTTGCTGAAGCTATATACTACCTTGAAGAATCAAATTGGGATTTACTTGTAAGTATTGATCAACACAAACTCCTGTCCAAACCTCCAACACTTTGATTCAACACTATAGTGTTCTAAGAAACATTTGTAATCAATATGTGCAGATAGTGAATTTGTAAAACATTCTATCCTTGTTTTTATGCTTGTGTTTATGTTCTATTTACATGTGTCATTGTGTCATCTTGTTAATAGTCCCACATACTTTAAATGAGAATGAATCAAATAACTAGTATTGTGCCGCGGTGTATCAATACACACCAGTTTGAAAACATGCATGTCATTCAAAATGTTTATTGCAGTATGACAATTCAAAATGGTTTTTCAATATTCCAAGTTTCAAGTGAATTCTTAGTTAACTATGTAAAAGTTAAAGTTGTAATGAACATTATTGTATCAGACAAACAGACACTGAATTTATTTAATCTGAAAAGTACAGGTTACCCTGTTAATTAAATCTTCAATAACAGACAAAGGCAATCTTAACTCAACTTCAAAGTAGTCAGTCAAATGTTTGTATTTTAATTTGTATTAGCAACTTACTTTTTGGCAAAAGACCCAAGGTTTTATTAATCCATTGTAAGATGAAAGAAACACAACTTTTTTATGTATCCCTAGAAAGACGTCTGCAAAATATCATGATTAGTTGAATCTAGGTGTGAAAATGTAATAGATAAACATACAAATTCACTTTTGTAATACTATAGTCTTCACCTCTTTAGATTGGCACCCATCCTTATATCCTCTATCAAATACCTAAAGTGATAGAGCTTATACGACCTCAAGGGCAGATCCAGGAGGGGTCATAATCACCCCCTGGTCTGGGTCTAGGTCATACAATCTCCATAGGTAATTAAATTAGAGTTTGTCACAAGTTAATCACTTACTAAAATGTCCTGAAGAATATCCTCCATCCTGATCCACTCCTGATAGACTTCTCATATATCACATTACACACAACTCTATCTTGTTCTGCTATCCTCTGTTCACTTATAGGTTTGCTGGAAGACGACTCAGTTATGGGTTAATCTTGCCTTCATGCACTCTACTACTTTATGTATTTTTCTGTAAATGTTTATATTGTGTACATACAAATAAATAATAATAACTATAGGCTACACTAGACAGTATTTATCTCAACAGAAATACAAATTAGCTTTTCAAATTTTGTACTATCTACTAAAACCTTTAAAAATTTCTTATTACAATTATCATGACTTGTTAGTAAGGTAAAATAATCCTTTGAAGCTATAGGAAACTATAATATGTGAAATTGCACTTGGTTTTTAGACTGCCATCAACCGGGTGATGCCTCAGGATGGAAGCAGCTCAACAGCACAGAACGACACTCATGATGTTGAGATGATAGACGATGATATATCTGTGATAACTCCAAAAACGCACCCACCAGGTAATTTTACCAATATTATCTCTAAAGTTATTTATGAAGCAGTACTTGGAATATTATTTGTATACAACTGCAAGCAGCATTTCTATTGAAAGTAATATTTCACATTTTATGACAAAATATTAAACTCTCCGTGTGGTGATGGATTAAGAATACGGAATGTCACCATCCCCATTCATCCCGTAGGTGTTGTTAAAGCTGACTAAGGTAGCCAACTAAACAGGACAACAGCACTGCAAATGGAAGGAAAACTTGAAACAAACTCTATACCAATCCATCTAGCCAGTGTGACATAGTAGGCCAAAACCTCTGGTCTGTTATAGGCTTTGATGATGATGATTACCTCCTCATGTGCCGCTACACTGTACAGTGCTTTCACCGATAAGCACTGTACAGTGTAGCGGGACATGAGGAGTTAAATATCAAAATCTACGAAAAATAGAGGGGAATAAAACCTTCTCTGTTATTGAAGTCAGTTAAAAACGAAACATAAGTTTTATTTATTTATTTATGTACCAATTTTTCTACGATCTAAATAACTTAACCTTTATAGTTAACTTATTAAAAACATGTCTAATGACTAAAATAAACTCAAAAAAACAAAAGAACTCAAAAGTGACAAACTTAGAACTAAGAATGATTAAATAAGTAAGGTAAATTATACACTAATTATAACAATTCAGTATTTGATATCAATTTCTACAAAATGTGCTGTTTACTAGTTTAAAAAAGTGATGTTTTAAGAGTTAAATACTCTTTCATGTCATGATATCTGAAACAAAAAGAGCTAATTCAATCAATCCATATTCTGTGCATTGGTTTATGGTCCTGTTTTGACAGTTGCTTGAAACATAATTATGCTTAAGTGCGTAAAATTGAACATCAGAGCACATAGTAAGAATAATATGTATTATGCTATTTATTACTAAAATACATCATATATATACGTACATTTGAACACCCTCTATATCCCAATTAAATATCAAACATCATCATTAAACAAAACATTAAGCCAAGTTCACATTTATGTATTACATAAAAGTGAACTAAACTGTGATTAAGTTAGTATAATATAACCATATCTAATTTAAAGAAATCATTATCATATTAGCAGATAAAAGCAACATGCCGACAAACCAACACATTAAACTGAGTTCAGAAACTTGTCTGTCTGCGCTAATTGAAATACCTATTCAATATACCTTTGTTATTAAGATTTAAGACTAGCTTAATTTCCTTATCAAAATCATATTATGTATCGTTTTAAAAGATATTTATTATTTAAAAAAATGTTTTTTTATCCACAGACAGAGAAGATGGTAATCAAGCATCAACCTCATCACCTAAATATAGTTCCATTGATTTGGTAGAGCTACAAGTTCATTGTAATAATAAAATATATGAAATCAAAATATCGGCCACAGCAACAGTCAGTAAGTGTAACCTACATGTTATGAAGATCAGAGAACATTTTAATAAAATGTAAATAAAACATGACATAAGGCTATATTCAGATGACTAACGTTAAATGCGCTGTAGTTTTTTGAATAGTGTTCAAGTGACGAACGCTTCCCGGACGTTGAGCACGCGGTGTCGCAGTTCACATCGATATTTGTGTACTATGTCCTTAAAGATGAATTAAAAATAGACAATTAAAACTGAATTTTATTTATCTTTTAATAAGGATTATTTTAAAATTTTATATAACATAGATTGCGTAAAATAAATGAAATGTCACTGAACTCATGTTATGTGGAATATGTTATATGATTTATAAATTTATTTTCTCAATCCTTTTATTAAGAAACGTTATTGATAATGCGCGCTCATCTGAACTACAATACAGCAAATCGTTCGACACGTCTGATTAATCCACGCGTTTATACGAAATGTATAGGAAAAATCGTGTACTTGTGAATCACGCGCGCTCAACGCCCTTCATCTGAACTTGGCCTTAGACTATTACATTATAGATCGAATGCACTGCAGGCATTATAACCTTTATGACATTGGGTCGGATGTAATGTATTCAGCTGCAATATTAGAGGTCGAAGGTTCCGTTCTCGCTCGTACAAATATTTTTATGCTTGAATAAATATATTTTACATTGAATAAATCTTTTCTATATGTAAATATAATAAAGAAAAATGTAATGGTATGTTTCATATTTTATGACCCATACACATATGTTGTACACATACGCTATGGTGTCCGTCAGTGGCGTAGCTACCGTAAGGTTAGGCGGTGCTGTGCACCGGGGCCCCCAAGCTTAGGGGGACCTCGGACCCTGGCCAGAAACCTCGTATTGAATTAGCTAAAAATTCACCCACCTTGTGAATGTAAATAAAATAAGTTGTAACACGACTTTAAAGTATTGTTGGTCAGACAGTTACCGTTTTTTTTTTATTCTGTACAAAAAAGTAAATAATGATAAGATAATGATATCATTAAATTTTTGAAAAACTACAGAGAACCTGTAAATAGATTAACTTAGGTATGAGAAATCACAGTTTTAATTTCATTTTATAAAAATAACCGTTTGGATTCCATTCAAAATTAAGAAAATGAGAGTAGAGCCCTAGTTTTTTTTTTTGCAACAGGGCTTTTGGTTATCTAGCTACGCCTCTGATGTCCGTAATGTCTTAGAATATATTTGTCATTTATTTATTTGTAAAGAAATTATCAGGTGTCAATTTTACGTAAAAAACTGTTTTAAACGTCTAATTATGTTGTAGAGATAATCCATTATGTTCATTATTACTTAGGTGATCTAAAGAAACAGTTGGAATTGGCTTGCGGTGTGCCAGTATGTCGTCAGCAGATCTCAGGGCTGGGCGGCTCACGAGCTACATCTAGTGCTCAGCTGCACACACTCTCACTACCACACAATGCAGTACTCAGGCTCAAAGCTGCTGAACAACTAATGGCGGATGATGAGTAAGTATTATCACCTTATCAATCCAATACGGAACTTTATACTCTAGAAACATCAGTACTTAGTAAACGATAACGAAATTATATATGTACCAACCTCTACACATTCATAACACTTTTTGAGCAGAACAATAAGGCTCTCTATACACTAGGCTGTTCTTAATTCTCAAATTAATTATTTTCAGATGTAATTTCTGTTCTGATTTCAGTAATGTATCATAGATAGTGTTACTTTTTGTTCAATAGGGTATTACACTAATTTTTGAAAATTGTCTCAATATAATTTGTTTACACATCCATATGACGTAATAACATTGTTAGTAGCCGCAATGTTATTACGTCGTTATTGCAGCTATAAAAACTGAATTAAATAAAATAAAATAAAAATTCATGAACTCTTTAATATTTTCCAACTACTTTTTGCCTAAGCTGTTTTAATAATATATTTTCAAATTTTTTTCATACAATGTCAAATACCCTATTGATGCCATGCAATTGTTAGGCTTTAAATAACCATACTCCTTATTCATTGTGGAGGCTATCATCTGCTGTAAGGAAATATGTCTCGGTAATAAAATTCGCAATTAAATAAAATAATTTTATTGTTTCCAGGGTGGCAGAAAAACTAACGACAACATACATTCTTCACGTGAAACACGATGACAAGGAATACACGCTCAAGTATCCCGGCACCAAGACTGTACAAGAAGTCAAGAATGATATATACTCACTGACAGATATACCTGCACGCCATCAGGCAAGTTTATATTATAGTTATTTGATTAAATTGTTGAAATTTGCATTTGTACAAATAAATTATTTGATTGCATAGTACTTTATAATACAGTATAGTAAAAATGTAGTTATAACACAGCTGTAGACTTGTTGATTAATTAAATACACATTTAATACATAAAATTGATATTATGGGTGTTTGAAGTCACGTGATAAGTTACTATTTTCAGCTTTTCGATCAAAATGCAATAAATAATTCCACATACAAACTTTCAATTTAAAATATATAAACTAGCTGTATGTAAAAAAAAGGCATAATACAGTTTTTTTTTTAAAAGAAAAGGTCTACCAACTGAAATTACTAGTGCTGCTTGTGTGAGGAGTGGGTTCACGTCGATAGTGTACTGGTCAGGATTTGAACCCGCGACCTCTTGATCGCAATTCCAATGTTCTAACCACTAGGCTACCGCCGCGATTGATATAATGCAATCTTTAGTCAAAATTATCTTTAGTTATAATATTATCCACATTAATTTCTTCTGAGTGTATTATTTGTAAGCTTGAGCAGTGATTACTATTCTTTTGTTTGACAGTCATGGACAGGTTGGCCTACTGTGACAGGGCTCGACGACACTGTGCTCGCTATGGTAGGCCTGGACATGCCTCAACACGAGCTCTCTGTTAAACGGGCCCCCAGCAAGCAGAAAGAATATAAGAGGGTAAGTTTTTAAAATGTGTAATAAGTAATTTTTCATTATGAGGTTAGAAATAGGATCAGGTTAGCCCTAAATAAATAAATAGTTTAAATTATATAATGGTGTACCAGCTAGTAGTCAATAAAATTTATCTATCAATAAACAACTCTACCAAATACTGCAGATGTTGATACTTCTATGATTCAATGTGAAGCTCGTTTCTTCTATATCTTGAAATTATTAAATTAACAGTATAAATATCCATTATTTAATCTGTATGTATTCAGTGGTCGATCAATAAGTGTAGTGTTCTACCTTTAGGCAGCCGGACCAAGCGCACGGACCGGAGGGGAATCGGTATGTGTGAATTCGGAGTTTGTTTGTTATCACTTTTTTGTTTTTAATGTTCATCATTATAATATTAAAATTATATTCTTGAAAAGTGTAGAAGTTATTTGATATATTGCTAGTCGTGTCTCGAATGTACTTGATTCACTGAAAGTACAATAAATATTGAAATTAAATTATGTGACGTAGTAAAAAGGGCATTAGTCATGATTAATTCAATGATTATAATTTTTTATGGTGTGTGTTTGTTGAATGGTATAGAAGTATGCTTTTTCATTAAAATATCATGTGGAAGCCGCTTAAATAAGTTTTCCTTACTTTTTTCTAAATTTATTATGTAAATCATTGTACTTTTGCTTAATAGCCATGCGTTCTTATTAAGGTTGTAAGAATTAAAATGCTGTATTCTGATTTTTTTAATAAGTAAGATGCACTTACATTCAAAATGGTGTCAGTACCTAAATTTATCCCTTCCTTAAAGGTTTCTGAAAGATAACAAATTTGCAATTCCTATTGGAATATAGTAAAGATGATTCGCAAATATAAATAAACAAGTAAATATTGTGTATTGTATGCAAGTATACATTTTTAGATGTTGTCTTTGTTATTTTAAACTTTCATCAATTGCTTTTTCATTGGTTCATCATCATCAACAGCCTTTAATAGTCCACTGCTGGACATAGGCCTCTCCTTAGAAAGGAGGTTTTGGCCTACTATACCACGCTGGCCAGACGGGTTGGTATAGGGTTTGTGTCAAGTTTCCTTTGCAGTGCTGGTGTCCTGCGTTGTTTTGCGCCCTTAGTCGGCTCTTACGACACCCACGGATGAATTGGGGTAGTGACATTCCGTTTTAATAATCCGTCACTACACGGACTTTTCATTTCATTGATTATTATTTATTATTGCTTAATTATTTTTTTAAATACATAGTTACAACTACCATGTCATAATGGTTCAAAATTATTAAAATCCTTTACTTTTTCTGTATTATATATATTACTTTAATAGTTATGTTTACTACTGAGTTTAGATCCAAAATCAGTTATAAACAAGTATAAATGACTTCTTCGTTATCAGCCACAATTAAATAAGAATCTTGAAACTAATCAAATAGTTATGTGTGTCGATTTAGCGCGAAATTTTAAAATTAACGGTAATTTCTTTCGTTTTTTTTTTTAATTAAATTGTTAAATTTTGGTTTAAAAAACGCATAACTATAAAATGTAAGCAGTTCTTATGTTAACATCATTGAATAGGGTAATTCAAGAAGCAATAATGTTTATCTAGTCCATTGTAGATATTATGCTCTATTTGATCAGTTGCTTATTTTATTAAACTTTATTTACTGTAATTGATCATTACATTGATTATATGCAGATAATAGTCGAGAGTTCGGACAGTGAAAACAGTTCAGTGGAAGAAATAGAAGACACAGCTGAGGGCTTTACAGGAGAAGACGATATGTTTGTGGATTTAGTGCAGTCAGAAAGGTTACAACCGTTAAGTGAGTATATCTCTGAATAGATTATTTATCTATATATAAATAAAAATCAATTGTCGAATGTAATTTAAGCGCATCACTTCAAAACTAAACCTCCTTTCTAAGGAGAGGCCTATGTCCAGCAGTGGACTAGTATAGGCTGTTGATGTGATGTGATTGACTTCAAAACGGCTCCGCCTACTTGTCTATATCAATTTTTTGTTGTATTTGTAACTGTCGAAACAAGGATAGTATGAAAAAATGTTTGAATAAGTATACTAAAGCAAATAAAAAATGCGTTTTAAAATCTCTATAAGTGTGTATGAGTGAATAAGACAAACGTTCGATGATTACCAGTCAAATGCGAAAAAAAAAAATAGTTTGAAACTTTCGTTGTTTTGAAAAAAAGTGGTAACAACTGTAAAGGGAAGAATGGGTCATGTTTCTGTGTGAAGCTAAAACGGACAGGTACTAGTTTATAAATATAATCTTCTGGTATAAGAACTCTTACAAATAAAAAATCATTGCAGCCATATTTACAATTTAAACTACCTAACGCACCGGTGTTCGCGATAACACTAAAACCAACCGAATTTTCTTTCATAAATATATGTATATGTAACTAGTTGCCCGCTCAGGCTTCGCACGGGTGCAATTTTTACGACATCACATTACAAATCTTTGTAATTCTGTCTACTATAATATGCATGTATTATACATACAAATTCCCCTTAAATCACTCTCTATTGATTTAAACCGTATCAAAATTCGAGAAACGACTTCATTTAGTACTATGTAAAGATTACACATTTTATACAATATAGTACAATGTTGGTATACAGTGACGGATCACGTAGAAGATGAAGCACTTGGGTGTATCGAGTTTGCGTCGAGGTTTCGCTCGCGGTACGGGCCCAACACACCTAACTTTTTTGAAGGAACACTTCAAGATGCCATCAAGGAATCCTGTCTGAAACCTGCCAAAGAGGTAACATTTAACAAAACATTATTCAAATATGTTCTAATAAAGACATATTATTATAATAATTAACCTAAAATAATTGTTGCGGGAGTTGTCTTTTTTAAAAAAAAAAAAGAATAATTATAATTAAAGCTCCTTTCCAAGGAGAGGCCTATGTCTAGTAGTGCACTATTAAATGCTGTTTGATGGCAATACCTACTTATGTAATATTTGTGACATTATATCCACTAAGATCTTGTGACCAAGGCCAGAGTCACTAAAAGAATATAATTAATTGATTTTTCTGGTCACTGCCCACCATAATTATATATCTTCTGAGCAGTTTATTTTTTAAGGTTAGGTTGTTTAAAAAGTTGTTAAAGTTAGCTTTATGATGATTTAGGCACATTAATATTGGTGATAATTCCCTAAACACTCACACCAGTGAGACTTTCTGCAGGTTCTCTTTAAGAAATATTGATTTAACTAAGAAATAACTAGCTTTACAACATCGAAATTGTAGAATATTTTTTAGTGTAGTAATTTATTTCACCAACTTATGTTTATCTCACGTCTATTTTCAATTATGTATGTTGCAGAGAAAACTACTAGGTATATATCTTCACCACGAACAGTCAGTGCTCTCGAACGTATTCTGTGCACAACTACTAGGGTGTGATGCTGTGCTGCAGACACTCCAGGCCAACTTCGTCGTATACGGATGGGACCTCACGCATCAGGATAACAATAATATGTAAGTTAACTATGTTATAAGGAAGGTTTAGTGTGGGTTACATGTAGCTTTAATAAGCAGTTTCATAGTCGTAGGAAAATACATGTTTTTTTTTATTAGTGTTTGCGTTTGTGTGTGTACTTGTATCGTACGTAAATCAGGGGGTCTAGTGCAAGTTTATTTTACAGCATCTCGATTTTTGAACGTCATTGCCATTGTTAAAGAGTTCAGTGTGACCCAGTTCTTATTTTCTAAATAACCATGTAGAACGCTTTATAAATACTAGTAATATCTTGTGTTTGTGATAGTAAATTGATTGATGAGTGTTTTACAGTAAGAGATTAGTTTTACTACATAACAACCACCGATATTCGCATAATTAATCCTAGAACTTCAAACTAGTGACACCTGTTTAATTTAGTTTCTAATATTATGTATTTGTTTTAATAACCAGTTCAACTTGAACTGTTATTGTTATAGACTTTCCATACTACTTCTAGTTAATGGATGTGGCCAAACTAATTGGTTTGTTGTTTTCATTACAGGCTATTATCATCAGTGGCGAATTCCCTGGGCCCGGTAGCGAGTATGACGATACGGAACATCCCCGTGGATAGATTACCAGCTTTAGTCATAATAATGCGTGTCAGATCAAATACTGAAATATATTCAGTCATCAATGGTAAGTCAATTTTTTTATTTAATAGGGAGCAAACGAGCAGACGGGTCACCTAATGAAAGCGACTGTAGCCACCCCTGAACACCTGCAACTCAGGAGTCACAAAAGCGTTGCCAGCCTTTGAGGAGGGAGTACGCTCTCTTCTCTCTCTCTCTCTCTCTCTTATTGTTGTTTATTAAGAAAGATACTTCTTACCCAGAATCCTTGTATCCAAATTTTTTTGAATGGGATTGGTGATCAACTTGGTCAAAACGTCAGGCAATTCAAAGTTTTTTTAAGGATTGCTTTGATTCCAGAATCATAATTATAATTTATCACTGAACTTGACAATTTAAAAGTTAGTATTTTGTGTATTCTTACCAATACATTGTCATATAATTTGCACATTACGAACATTCTGTGAATTAGTTTACATCGGTATTCTAGAAATCAAATAACTCTTCAAGTAATTCTTCTAAAAAATACTATCTCTGGGTTAGAAAAAGCTGTTAAAAGATTGGGAAATTTAATTGCATCGCTTACTTCAGTGGTACATATACTTCTAGTCCCTTAGTCTTGAACAACTGGTGTAGGATGTAATAATAAGGTAGAGTGTTGGTACAGGTAATGTAGGCGTTTCGGAGCTGCTGAGCGGGCTGGTGGAGGCTCTGGAGCGGTTCAGTGCGGCGAGGGAGGACGAGGCGAAGCTCGAGCGAGAACGAGATGCCAGGCAACGGGTCAAGCGCGAGCAGGACGAGGCTTACCAACGGAGTTTAGAGGCTGACAGGTACACCCACCCAATTTATCACCTAGTTATTAACTCTTAGTGGTGCTGTGCTGCCTGGACTCTTCCTCTTTAGAGGATTAGATTCCTTGCGGTAACCATGGGACCGCTATTACTTACGATCCGGTAAAGGAAGATATATTTATTTGTAGCGTAAAATTTATTGCGCATCATGCGTTTATACGACACTACATACGAATTTTAATTTAAAAAATCTCCATATAAAAATAATACAAATACTTCAAATAAACAAGTTTTGTTGTTAAATAATGTTAGAACCTCATAATACTATGATGTTCTAACATAGTTTTCCAGTGACAGAAGTATATAATTCAAATGTAACGTTTTTAAGTAATTTACGTTCAGATAGGTACATTTATTGCATAATATACATTTAATTTTTCGTGCTACTTATTTAGGAGTTAAATTTACTTATGTAATAGATTAAAATATTATCAGTTAATAAAAATATTGTTATGTTATTATTATAATATTATCATTTACAATAAAATAAATATATTTTAAATTCTTGTTTTTAGAGCTAAAGAAGAAGTAAAAAAGCAACTGGCATTAGAAAGAAATCAAGAAATAGAACGAGCAGAATCAGAAAGACTTATGGAGGCAGCTAAAAAAGAGGTCAGTATACATTGATTTTAATGCGAAAGACATCTTATTTTATTGGTATATTGGGTTGGATGTGTTAATCGAGATTAAATATGTTAATTCGATGTAATCGTTGGATAACCAAAAAAAATCTTACTTTATAAATATTATCATGGTTAAGTCCCAATTTATAACTTAATATAATCTTATATATCCCAATTAAAATTGAATGGTGTATTTATACGTGGAAGACCCATGTCTCGTCACAAATGAGTCTTTTCGATATCACGGTCCTATAGAAGATCAGCATTAAGAAATCGAGAAAGTTCAGTGAGGTACTGAAGCTCAAACCCGTCTCCTTCTGATTCTTGGGGGGGATTTAAGGCGTGGCGAAGCACGGTGTGACTAGAGTGTAGGTGTTGATGAACGTCGGCCCCGTATGACTGTCGATGAAGTAATGCACGTGGCGTGTGTCAGGCGGAGCGGCTGGTGGCGGCGCGGCGCGTGCCGGGCGAGCCGGGCGCGGGCGCGGACGCGGCGCGCATCCGCGTGCGCCTGCCGCCGCCGCACGACCACTGCCTCGAGCGGCGCTTCCACCCCCACGACACGCTGCAGGTAACACTCTTTTACACTTTCACTTTTATTCTTCTTCCTATAATTGTTTGCGTGCTAGTGTGTCACTGTCCGCGCGCAGTGACTGACGTGAAAGCATGGCTGTACGTGTTATTTTTCTTAAGACTGCTACACACGGTATTATTTTGCAACATGGCTACAAAAAAAGGTTAGGCTTACTTTTCATTTTTCAATAAACGTCCTTTGGTTTTTTATATTAAATTACTTTATTAATATAAATGTGGAAGTTCTCTATTGTCCGTATGGTGACGGATTAAGAATACGGAGTATCACCACCCCATTCATCCCGTAAGTGTCATATAAACCTACAATAAACTGAAATGATAGTACATGAAAATAAGTTATATTTTTAAAACGTCGTGTGTAGATCGTGTTAGTACATCGTGTAGTGTATAGCCGAGCGCATCACCCGCCTCGCGTCCCGCAAACCATCGGGAAGGCCAAGCTTACGGCAATTTGAACATAATCGTTCCCTCACTGCTGAGGATCGTGACTCCATGGGTTGCGACTATGAATATATCCTGTGTCGCGAGAACTTTACAAACACACCCAGACTCAGTACGACAATTTGTGGATCACACAGTGTCGTCCCATGTGGGCATCGAAACCACAACACTCAGGAATAGGAAACAAAGTGGCGACTGCTTAAACCACTACGCCATCCGTGCAGTCGTACTGTCCCCACACCAAACTCCTCCTCCTCCTCCTCTTTCAAATAATTTTATAATAGAAAACCTTCTTGCTATATCTGTCTATCAGTCTGTCCTTCCATATATCTTCACATTAACCTAAAAATAAAACTTAAATTTTGATTATTGTATTTTACTATCTGAAAATCTTTTTGTCCCCCTATACATATGGAACCATTTCCCCTCCCTATCGTGACGTCATATTTATTGCCATTTAACATCTAGAAATTATTATTAAAACAGCAATACTTGGGTACTTGAGTAACAGTAACAGCAATACTTTAATATAAGATCTTGGAACTTAGCCTAACTAACTATACCTCCCCCTTTACTAATGTGACGCAATTTATGGATAGTACCTAAAATCAAAATGACTTTTAAATACATATAGTTGTCTATTTCCAAAACAGGAAACTTTAAAAAAACTTTATCTGTTAAAATAAAATCGCTATACAATCATGAGGTATAAAAAATGAATCACCATTTATATAATAGAAAAAAATTGTTCAAAATCCCTAAAAAAAAACGAACAATATTGTAACTAAATTTTTAAATCTAACAAGTTATTACTTGTTTTGAACGGATAATAATAAACTGCGGAACACTACACTGGCGTGATCCGACACCCACCCTTTCATTATATGCCCTAACCGTTTGCGAACTACAATGTCATAGTAATATAGTATAGTGTCACACCAAAATACATATCTGTGGAACAAGTTATCGTCTGCGGTATTTCCGACCCGATACGACCTTCGTCCCTTCAAGAAAAGAGCGTACTCCTTCCTCAAAGACTTTCAATGCGCTTATGACTCCGAAGTTGCAGGCATTCATGGGCGGCGGTAGTCGCTTTCTATCAGTTGACCTGTCTGCTCGTTTGCCCCCTCTTCCATGAAAAAATAAAAAAATAGTACAATATACATTAAAGTTGTATTTTTTTTTCATTGTGTCTTACACAGATACATTTATAGATCGTTTATTATTTCAGGCACTATTAGACTTCCTCGCTTCAAAAGGTTATCCACAAGAACATTATAAAGTAATCGCTAGCTGGCCTAGGAGAGACGTAAGTAAAATTGACAGTACTTTTAACACTCTGTTATTTAAGTAAACTAATTAAATCACTGCCGCATGTTATAAATAAAAATACAGAATAAACAAGACCAGGAGTAAAACCATTATGTCAAAAAGAATATTCATAAGATTGCAGTAAAACGAAAGGAGTAATGTTACACGTGATGAACCGAATTAACAGGATAAAGTTCTATCATCGTATGTAGCTTCTGCATCGGGCCATTGTTACCAAGACATCACAATCATATGATTTTGTTGGTAGCTGACTTCATCAACAGATCACCTCCAAGACAAATTATAGTATAAAGTTTAATTTCGATGCGGCGTGTAGAAGTGGGTTCAGTGTAAATTCATTCTCAAGCTAATTTGTCGTTCACAGTTAACAACAGAATCTCCAAGCAATACGCTGAAGACACTGAAGCTGTACCCACAGGAGACGGTGATGCTGGAGGAGCGGTGAAAACTCCACTCCTCTCGCCACGCGCCCCGCCTCACGCCCCGCGACGCATCACTCACATATACCTCCAACTGCTTTCAGACTATGTAAGTGATACATCATCACTAAGGGATTTAATACTTTGTTACCTACGGCGTAAGGTTTAGTTTACAAATTATGACTTCGTAAACTATATTTCGACTTGTATTGGAATAAAGGTGTCTTCCGCTAGTAAACTTTCAATTTGAGTAACAAAAGAGCCATTCATGATAAATAATAAGTCTTTAACAATGTTAATTACTAATTATGGTGTGTGTGTGTGTGTGTTGTTCACGGCTATACAAATAGTTTAAAAAGCACGATAAGCGTATATTGAAAATCTGTTGCAGCTGTTCCGTGCCGAAGATTATTAATAGTATGATGTACTATAGGCGTTACGAAAAAAGTAACGCATCAAACAAGCCCCACCCCCTGACCAATCAGGTTCCAAGATAGTATCGTTTCGTACAATAGCTTGGAACCTGATTGGTCAGGGGTGATGGCAGATTGATAAGTCACTATTTACTTAACGCGAATGGACTATAGCTTCTATCGCTGTTTCACTCGTCTGAGTGTAAATTTGGTCCATTTATTCACGTAATTCTTGGGGACACTAGATACTTTTTAATTAAAGGCCCTAATTGTACCTCTGATGATGTTCGGGTTAAAATTCATGATGAAGAATTTGGTAATTTCACAATTTAACCCATGATTATAATAAATAACAAACGAAGTCGCCACTTTAAAGCTCTCCTATACTCACTTGCGTCAGCCACCAACAATTTGTAGTACACAATAATATTGGTTATGCCAATACCCTTGTGATGGCTTGGTTTATTTATGGTCAATGAAACCAGTGTAACTTGACCTGTCATTGGATAGAATTACGTACCCTGACAGGTCAACATATACCCAGAATGTGTGAAGCTTTAAATGTAGCCATATCGTTCTTACGGATTTTTCTTTAATTTTTGAACACATTGTTTAAATATTTTAGCTTCCTATAACTTTTGTTCTAATACTCACATCTCTCCTTTCATGAAATTCGCTAGAAAATGCAGCAATCAATCAACTTATTGCAGTCCATCATAGGTCTCTTTTAAATTCTGCCTTTTTCGCCTTCCTTTAAAATAATAATATAATATACCGGCTCTACGCTGTGAAAATTTCAGTATACGCTTATCTTTTAGTACAACCTACGGAATAATAAAACATGATTATGTAAACACCCTTTTGTCAGCAAACAGTGTTGCAGAACTCCTAGATATATACAGTAGAATTCAAATATTTCGATATTTCTGTTCTTTGCAAACTTACAAATGTTGTAATACAGAGTGTGGCTCTTTGCAATATAGTAATTTAATGTCATGTGTCATTTTGTCTTGGTTTTGTTCTTGCGTAGTAAAGTCTGCCTCAGAACAACAACTTGATTAGAAATGTATCCTTCTTCCGAATGTATTGCTGATGGATATATTTATTATGTAAAAGATTAAAACAAAAATGTATTATACAAACGCAAAGTTTTTAAATAAATATTAGAGAACAATATAAAGACATGTTACTTGTACTTCGTTACGGAAGTAAAGCTTTTATGAGTATATATAAAGTTAGACTTTAATCAACACTCAGCGCTACTGAACATAGATGACGATGTCAGTTTTATTTGAATTTTTTACTCAGAATAAACCTAGTTCATATAAACGCACCTCGTGTTATCAAGCCATATTGATTTAATAGTTGAAATAAATGTTGGTTTTAATTCAAAATATACTAACAATTTTGTACTACATTTAAATGTTATAAAAGTACAAATTTAAAGCTATTTGTATCTACAGAATGACTTTATATAATAATATATATATATATATTTGTATTTATATTTATTCAACAAGAACTATTCACCTGTTATTTAATTGACTGTTAATTCAGTATTGCAAAGATGCAAGCAAACTTATTAATCCCGCAAATATTCTTGGCTAAATAAGGAATAAACTTCAGCTTTTATAATAAAAAAAATTGAATGAGGAAATACTGTACAAAGTCTGAAAGTGTTTGGAGTTTATTCATAAGACTAAATAAATAACATGTTCCAATAGATATTGCTTTGAGGCAACATGTTTTTTTTTCTTCTAACGAGGCAGCCAGCAAACAGATTTTAACACAAAACAATCCGGGAATCGAGGCATTTAAAAATGCGTGGCCGCCTTGTCTAGAGTACCAAAAGTTCACATTCGTGTCCACGTTGTGGTTTTTATTTATTAGCTAAATAAATTTTGTAACTTGTGTGGTCCAGATTGATAAGTATAATTACTGCTATTTAATAACTCGAAAACCACTATTCTGAAATACATAATTCTTTTTTTCTACGCACATTGTCAATTACTTCTTTAAATGATTTTCAATATTACACTACAGAGTCTTACAAAGGTTTAAGGCAGTCTAAGCTTACCGTTACCTGCTGTGACTTGCAGTTGATGTGCTCCTGACTCGTAAACATCATCATCAACAGCCTATAATAGTCCACTGCTGGACATACGCCTCTCTTTAAAAAAGAGGTTTTGGCCAACTATACCACGCTGGTCCTACAGGTTTGCATAGGGTTTGTTTCAAGTTTTCCTTCTCTTTGCAGTGCTGTTGTCCTGCGTAGTTTGCTCCCTTAGTCGGCTCTTACCTATTAATTATTACAATGACATGCAATTGTTTTTCAGTCTTTTTTCTCTTCTGTAAAACTTAACATTACTATTTACTATATTGTACTAAGTTGTAAAGATATGTAGTTATTTGGTCTGGTCAACCATTGCATATATTCGTAACTTTGTCCATACATCAATAATTGCATTTTAGGTTGTAATGATTTTATTTAAATTTGATTCTTATTGTACAAAAAATAGTGTTTATAATGCGTTGCGGTTGGAGTCCTAGCTGAGGTGCTTTGAACAAATAAAGTTACTGTTCATGCAAAGCAGCATTAAGTATCTTCATTTATATTTATATATAAATGGTTATTAGCTTAATATTGTAAATTGATTGTTCGACTGGAATACTAAATGGGCGATGTTTTGAACATGCTGTATACAAACATCACATTTTGTCACAAAAAAATATATATTTGTCTATGCCTCCGCGTCAAGGTTAGAAGAAAGAAATGTCAAAAATATATAAAATTAGTGCCTGTACTTAGATCGTGGTCAAAACATCGCCACACACGTGTACTGATCTTTATGTAATTTCAAAGTGCACTGCTTGCCTAGTAGGCAATGTCTAGGCGCCTATAGTAATGTGTATTATACTGCAGAATATTAGTATAAATTATTATAAACGTGGATATCCGAACGATTTTGGAGCGTTTGTATTTTTTTCACGAATCCACACAGGTATGTTACAGTGTACGCGAGGACTTATGTACCCAAATAAATAAACTGATGGAAGATGACAACTTTGTTTTATTATACATACATAATTTGTTACATTTTAATGTGTCTTTAAAACACTGAATCTAAAATCTTAATTTAATTCTATAAATTAAAAACATGTTTTTACAGTACACTTGACAATACTAAAAATAATTTAGTACTGTCTAGTACTACGTTTTCAGAAGACGAACCGTTGTTAACGAATTTTAGTTCAGAGAGTTTTAGAACAACAGAATTAGCAGCACTGACTATGACTATTTCTAAATTCAATACGTGCTGTTTTTATTCGTGGTTTTATATGTACTAGAGATCGCCTTTCGGTCGAATTTGATTTAAAGAATGATTATACTACAAAAAGCGCATTTGTAGAATTATATGTAAATATAAATAGCCAAAATTTTAGGTCAGATGCAATTTCTCCCAATTCTCCCATTCTCTATCCTAATTTACCTTCTTCCTTAAACGTATTTGCAAAGGATTACATTCACAAGCTGGGGTTGATCGGGCGACAGCCGGCCAATAAACAAAACCAGCCAAAACTATTTGAAATGTTACACATTAGGCCTGCTCTAAAAAAAATTGAGAAAGGGGAAGATAATACAAAGTAATACTGGTTATGGTTTGCGGGATTTCCGGACCGATACCTTCAAGAAAAGAGCGTAATCCTTCCTAAAAGGCCGGCAACGCGTTTGTGACTCCTGAGTTGCAGACGTTCATGTTCGGCGATGGTCACTTTCCCTCAGGTGAACCGTCTGCTCGTCTGCCCTCTAACATAAAAAAAAAGATAATTAGAAATGACGACGATATAATTTTTTTACAAAAGTAATACAATTTGCAATTTACTTAAAGAATGCAAATTTACCAACACGGTACGAATACCGTTGCCAAATGATCTACATCCAAAAATACATTCAATATTTCATAATATATCAATAGCAGTAGTGGAGCATTGATCTAGAATAATCTAGATACAAAAGAAAAAGTGTTGTGTGCAATTTACACATCGAACCCACTAAGGCAGCTTTTTCAAATGCCACGCGAACGAAGTCACGGGTACCAGCTACTATTAAATAAAAAGAAAAAAATATTTACACTATAAAAATATTATATTAAAACAATGTGTAATGTGTGTCTATCTCATTCTCTCGCCGACTTAATCCTATACATTTATGTGTTTGTTTCTTTATCGTGACGCATTTTCGTTTCATCGAGTTTCAAATTACAACGATTCTAAAGAAGTTTCACTTCTTAAAAACTTAAACAAAAAAAAACTGTTTTTAAATTTCAAACTACCCACTCTAATGCATAAAAGTTGTACGCCTCCTTTTCATTAATATCCTGCTGACTAGCACCGCCACGACAAATATGCCCCATGACAAAACAATACCGAACGTCAGTATCATTAGTGGCATAGAAAACTCTCTGATGCTGACGCGAAATACGCTCAAGTCGACCGTGTGCGCACATTCGGGCATAGACACATCGATATCTGCCTTTATACGGCGAAGTAAACCAGCCTCGTACATCTTACGGATCCTGAAAATGACATTTTCTCGTGGTTACTTTAGTGGATAGATTTTCAGACCTGTATTCAAAATAAAAAAATATTTTATCCTGTCCATCCTTGACTTCTCATTTGGCCCAAGATATATCCTAGATACTTCATAGGAATTTGACATTAAAGCGGTGTGTACCTAAGTAAAGGAAATCTACGCCGACCTATGAAAACAACACTGCGTGCTATATCCTGTATCTACAATTCGAATACCAAATTGCTACACCTGACCGATAAACTTCTTGCCGTGAGAGAACTATACTACGGCACAACTGGCCTCATAGGAAACCAATTATTTTGATGCTTTTCATCAAGTGTAAGATTACCGGAGCCCAAACCCCACGGCGAGAACTTAAAGGGCGTCAACGCAGCTGTGACTCTCGACTTGCAGTTGTCAGTGGGCGGCGGTAGTCACTTGCCATGAGGTGCCATTGCCCTTTGCTCGTTTTCCCCAGTATGCCATAAAACAACAAATGTATTGTCAATGTGAGCACTTTAGTGTGTGCAGGCAAATAGTGATACACAAAACGAACGCTACGACCAAATCCTACGTATACCTACAATGCACTTACCCAAAAGTAATATGTTCCTTATATGGTGATTTTTTTCTAATGACCACACCACATTTCTGCAATGGGTACATTTGTACCAACTGAGTGTCGCATATCTCTCTCTCTTTGAAGGTCTCTTTAATAATAGGGAAGGCAATTGCTGTGTCCACATGAAGGGCAAACCCCCCTTTCTTGACCAGAGCCATGCCTTCCTCGGATTTAAAAAAGTTGTATTGTGTGGAGGTGTGTATTTTTCTTCTGTACAATTCCATAGCTACAGGGTCTGTTGTACGCTAAAAATATGATATAATAAGCCACCAACCAACCAGCCACACAATTTATATACGAAATTAACACAATTTATCTATATAAAGAGGTAAAGTTTGTAAGTTTGAGGTAATCTCAGGAACTACCGGTTTGAATTGAAACATTATTTCAGTGTTGGATAGCCCTTTTATCGAGGAAGGATATAGGCTATATTTATGCTAATGCTACGACCAATAGGAGACGAGTATCAATAAATAATGTTGCGAAAGCAGGGAAAATTTATTCCTTTTGAAAGACGCAGGCGAAGTTGCGCGGGTCAACTAATTTAAACTATTACGAAACAAAAAATTCGAAATTAACAACAATTCTGATAGATTCGCTTGTACAGTTCGCTATTCTTTCCTTCTTTTTCTCGCTGTTTAGCAAAACTTAAAATGACTACACCGGATCGCAGCGGGTATATTTGCGAAGTGCTTGTTTCATTCTTCAAGTTTAAAAAAATTCGTAAACCGGAACCGGTCGTAAATAACTTTACTGGCTCAGTACCCTTTTGGCATCTACTAGAAAGTCGTAGAATAATTTGAAATCATTAATTTGGTAAATGATTAATGATGAACTATTTCTGGAACACTCGGTTGCATAGGTATAATATAGGTACGCATACGCACAACAACATTAACCGTAGTAAACAATGTACCTACCTACTTCAATTGCCTTCAAATCAAGTAGTTACATAATGAACAGACTTTAAATTTCCTTTGGACATACTAATGTAATTATAACTATAGTAGACTAGATTTAACTGTCTAAATAGAATAATGCATCTTTCACATCCCCACTGAAAAGCTTACGATCCAATAGTATTTGAAATGCCTAGCCTGTTCAACTCTTTCTATTTAAGAGAATAAACACGCAAAACTAAAATGATAAGTTCAGGACGACACGAGTATACCAATTTACCTTGAAATAATCCATGTTATAAGCAATATCATCCGCTCCAACCTTTAAATCACTATCCAGAAGATCTTTAAGCGTTTTAATATTCCTCGGCTGTTCCATCAACAGAGACGACACTAAAGTAGCGTCATAGTACTGGTTTACGGTAAGGGCGAATACAAAGATAACAAACGTGGCCAGTTTTACTGATGTTGTCTCTTGACGAATGAACATATCTGGTGAATAAGAACACTGATAATAACTTAAGGAAATTTGAAAAACAACTTAAGGAAATATTAATTATATGATAAGGGTGTGCAGGCATTTTCAATCAAATCAATTAATAATTAAAAACCCCAGAAGGATATATAAAAGGCGGCGTCGAATTTTGCTTTTTGTTGCAAATTGTTCTCTATATTTGGCTTTTTGGTGCCTCTTGTCACCTGACGCCTGGAGTGACAGCTCAGCTAGTACCCAAGGGAGGGCCATATAGTTACAACATTACCTATTCAGGTACCCATTTCTGTTTTGAAAAATTACCATGGAAGAGCCAAGCTTCGTCACAAATGCGCCGGCTCGACCAGAGTGATAAAACGTCCTCACAGAAAACCGGTTTAAGTAATTCTTTCATTGCTTTTGGGTGAGGTTACCGGCCATATAAGTAGGTATGAGTATAGCACTTAATTTCGTTAGTTAAAAAATATCTTATATTGCTAATAACAGTAATAACTAACATTGCTGACATACTGCACCCCAAATAGCTAAGCCAGCAAGACTAAGCGAGGCGTCTTGACCCTTTACGCGGCTCCCTTGCATCTTCAGCATGATCCATGTCACCATGGCCGTCACCACAATCAAAGCGATAGTACATAACCACACGACGCCACTTAATGGTCGAGTATATATAGTATAATATCCACCTGTATGTCTCGGATGGCGAAATATGAAGCTGTGCCTGTGAAACATAGAGATCTGTTTTTTCTCTTGAACAATATAAATAAAGCAGGTGTCTAAGGTATTAGGTCCAAAATTTTTAATAACAGCGTAGGTATATCGCAAACCTCGTGCAAACAGGTAATTAAAGTCAAAGAAGAAATAAATAATTTATGGTGAGACATAGTTGTTAAGTTCAGTTAATATACAACTGATAATACTTAAAACTATTTGTATAGCACTTAGGTATGTTAATGTAATATATGTCTTTTAGCTAACAAGCTATTAAAAAAAATTGAATGCCATAAGGTATTGTAGAAAAAAATACGTTACGAAGTGCTAAAAGGATCTTCTCAAAATCATGAACTATTTTATTGCGCTTGTATTAGTAAAATGTGTGTCCGTTTTAAAACTATGGTAAGTACCTACCTATGTTAATAACATAATTACACTATCGTCTCCTTCTTAGGTAATAACAGATATCTATGCAGAAAAATATTACTTATATAAAAAATATTCCAGACAAATTCAAAAATACCGAGACATCCAAACTTCAGATATATAATTGACATTTTCAGCTCTATCACTTCTGAAGAAGCAAGGTGCGGCACCTATATCTGCCATCCCATGTCGAAGGGCGCCAACCATTCCATCGAAGGTGCCATTTCGCTTATAGCCCCACGAGGTCGTTCGATGAACGTCGTAGCTGTTAGAAACACACAACGTGTAAGATATCAAAGCAACGTATGTTGATATATGACCTACAGTGCCGAGACGTGGGCATTAACGGTAGGGCTAGTCTACAAACTAAGAGTCGGTTAGCTAGCGAACTAACTATACTTGGAGCTAGCTATGCTTGGAGTTTCCATGCCGAGGCACTGATACGGTCACAACTCAAGAGTTACCGGGCCATATATTTCTAAATACAGACCTATATTAAATATAACTTACAGACAGAATAATTGTGCTTATACTGCTCATCACGCAATATTTGTTTTGGGTGGGAATCGAAACCACGACCTCTGGATTAGCAGTCAGGATCGCTAACTACTAGACTAATAGGCCAGTCATTATCCTTTAAATGACGACTTTAAACGACTTTAAATGATGACATATCACTTAATCAATCAAAAGTACGATTAACCACAGTTACACACACACCTAGTTGTTAATCGTTAGGTTTAAATTTGATCGTAAAAGAACCTTCTTTTACGATCAAACCACACACAAACCTAACAGATAAAATAACGCAAAATTAAGAATAATTTTCTCTTCAAAATGAGATAGGTAAGTATACTGTATAACAAGTTATAATATCAAACCTAATTCAGATTTCAGGATTCATTACCGTTTCACGATTTGTGTTTATTAACAGTTGATTACATTAGAGCGAGTTAGAAGATGAGAAAAGTTGAAATAAGATTATAGAGAAAATTCATTTACGATATAAATTATATACGCACAAAATACGTACATATATCTTGAATTTTATTTATTTTTTGCTATTTAAATGACAATAAATTGAATCAATTCAATGTTGAAAGTGACCCGAAACCACTCTTAAAAAGGTGTCAAACTTATATTTTTGAAACTGTATTAGTTACATTTTTGAGACAGTCCTAAAAATATAACAATTTGATAACAGGTGACGTTATCAAATTGTTATATTTTTAGGACGATGGACGTGAAAATTATAAGTAGTAACTGATTTAAATTGTTTAGAAAAATTACTTACCGCAGCTCCAACGATGAAAGCAAAAGCATTATGAATTTTCTAAATGTAGGTACCGAGAAACGAATGTCTTTTTAGAAAATTTTAAGAAAACAGAACTGCTGTTTTTGCATCCAGTTTTACGTATCAGTTAAATCATTAGGTTACGATGAAAACGTAGGTAGGACGTAATCTTAAGATTTAATTGTAATAATCTCAAATTAAGCATGGATACGAGATACATATGTTAAAAGCGTAGGTAGATACCATTTCTACAAGTCAAAGCTTACTACTATTAGTTTGTTCCCTTAGAATTTTTAAATGTAAATGTCTTACCTAATATTATACATGTCTCGCATGTATTTCAATAGAATAAAAAACTTGATTCGGTGAACTGTATCGAATTTCGAACGAGCCTTTTCCATGTATTGTTCTACAGTTTCATAACGAAGTTCGGCCGTTGGTAGTATGATTGCTGCTATCTTGATTTTCAAGCCATGTAGATTTTTCCTGTCCCGTTCTTTTATAAATAGTGAAGAATTCCAAAACCCTAAGTCCACGACTTTGAACTTACCATTGTAATGAAATCCGGTATTATAGACTTCATATAATTTGATTTTCGTCGTGTTTTTATGGGCTACAATAACATCAGAGTCAATTTGTATGGGATACCGGGCTAATATATTTATAGTCGAGGTCAAATCTTGCGTCATTACTATAAAAGAATAATTTTGAAACGATATTGATTCGGAGTCTAAAACTGTTGTCCATCCTCCACAAGCAGTATCCATTAAAATTGCACTTTTTTCATAAATATATCTGGATATATATGGCGGATGTTTATCGCTAATATTAGCAGTTGTAACTCGTATGTTGTTTTGGTTAAATCTTTTATAAACACCGGCAATAATATCTTTCTCATAGCAATGAAATAATACCGCATTAGAAATGTACTTATTTATAGTTCAGAATATCAACAATGAAAGGAATTTCTACTACGGAGAATGTAGCCAATAAATTGTAAAACAAATTCATGTTGCTCACGCTGTACTGACGATTCAAATAAACCGTTGTAGAATAAACTTATGGGTAAATAATTTAAAACAATCGACAGTTAAAAGTCGCTTAGAAATGTGAATGACAGCAAAATTGGTGCATTTAATAAAATAGCTTTCTATAACTTCTGAATATAAAATGAAAATGTAGTTTAATTCTGAGTTATTGTTTATGGATTAGACAACTGCAATGAATGCTTACAATAATAGGTACCTACCTATAGGTAATTGACGTAATGATAAACTAGTATGACGTAGTACTAAGGCTTTGTGCATATAGGCGTTTCCAGGGCAGACTGGATTTGCAGTGATAACATTTAGAACATTATTGTGTTTACAAATGTGTGCTAATCGAATGCTCTAGTCATGCAGTCAGCATAACTTACAAGATAGGCACCGTTGTTAAATTTACGACCAGTTGTGACATTATTTTTTTTGTATACATAATTGCCTAGTGCTCAATTTATGGCCACTGCACCGTTTTCTTTAAAATAATACTCCTTTCTTTAAATTCCTCAACACATTGCGGCTTAAACATCTCATCAAGACATGGCCTTAGTGTCATTACATTTTATGCATGTAAATTCCTATATAAAAAGCCCAGTTTAGGTACAGCCACTGAGCTGCACCCTTGGCAGCACAGAAACTAAAAAATCTTTCTTTAAGAGAAATTTGTTTAATAAATAAATATACCAATTACAATTGGGACACAATTTAGTTATAACAATAATTAGAGAAGACATCTTGGAAAGGAAACTCTGCTTTATCAGGTACTAATAGATCTGATAAGAAACAAACAGTTCCTGCCGTGCCTTCATACAAGCTCTCCGGGTTATCAGGAAGTCTCGCATCTCTTATAAATTCTTCATCAGTCAAAAATTCTGCAAACATCTTAGCCCTATGCAGATATTTTGCTTCACCTGTCAGTCTATGCAAGAGAAGAAATACATATCCATTACCAGCGACTCCATGACAGATACCCGGCCCTTTGTGTAGAAGACCCTTTCGCCATACAAATTCTCCCGCCTTAATACAAGAGTCAAGATATCTTTGATCTTTGTAAGTAAGGTATGCTTTTGCCATAAGGTACACCATGCCAGGTGCCCCATGACACCAGTGTACCAGCTTGTGATCATTTAGTTCTATTTCTTCCATACAACAAGGCCAGTTCCCCTCTTCATTTTGCAATGAAGCTAAGAACTCGATAGAAGCTTGAATATCTTGAGCTGCTGCTTTATTATATGTCAGATAACCAGGGATACTCAGTAGCATCTGTAGAATAAAACTGATACCATGGGCAGACCCGAGGTACTCTGTATTATAATAATGGTACATCAAAGGGCTGGGGCTTTTGTTTTTCATGGCATATTCTCGACCTGAAGTCACAATGATATCACAAATCTTATAAAGTTCTTCCAATGTAAATATCGGAGTCTTGAGTTCCCGACTGATCCACAGGATTCCAGCAAGGTATCCAGCTCTGCCTACAAATAATTCATCTCCTCCACATTTCAGGAACTTAGGATTAAGATAACTTGGGTAAAGGGACTTATACATCCGGAGGGATTCAGCAAATTGATCTGAACCCAACTCTTTATTTAAAACAGTAGATATTGCATAAGTACCAGCTTCTCCAAGTAAGAACGAAGTTTTGTCCCCAATAGAAGTTTCCGTGGCAGGTTTAAGATACTCAAAGCCCTTTTGTAGATAAAATGCTTTCTGCGATGATAATGTTGGATTTTTTGCAAGATATAGGAACATAAAAGATACGCCTGTAATACCGACATAAAGCCCTCCGTCAACATTTTTTTGAGTAGGTTGTAACCGCTTAGTAATGCTACCAATATATTCATTTATTTGGGCAACCACCGCGTCTTTATCGACAACTACATCTGATCCAGGTTTATAATCATCGTACGGGTTTGGAAAGAAACGTACCATGGTGCCAAACTGAACAGAAGACAACAAACGTTTAAAAGATCGAAACGTAGCAACTACTTGACGAAAATTTATATTCATTTAATAATTACGTGTAATATAATAATTTATTTCTATGAGATCTTTTTTTTATGGCGATCTTGTTTTGTTTTATTTTGACAATTCGATCAAATGACATTACTGACATTCCTCCACTGCAGCCAACTGATACAAAAAAGAAACACATTCGTAATTTCTTTTAATTCCATAAATTCAGCATTTTGACTAAGTAATTTAATATTGAGGTTGAGCCAAAACCTCCTTTCTAAGGAGAGGCCTATGTCCGGCAGTGGCCTAGTATAGGCTGTTGATGATGATGATGAATTTAATATTGCTATTGGTTTTAAATAAAATAATAAGAAATGTTAATAGGCTATAGCCTATTAACAATTGTTGTTATTTTATTTATAGATGTCATCATTCTAGACCTTAATCTATAGATTAAGGTGGATAGATTAAGGAATATGCTAGAGTTGGCTGTTAGTGATATAGACTACTGTTAGACTTTTTTTTTACGAAACGAGTTGTAATATCAGCCCCGGATCTAGGGGAGAGCATACTGGGACACACGACCTGGGACGACTGGGATTTCAGGAGGCGCCAAAATCATATCACTAAAAATACCAACCATCATAATATATGTATTTGTGAGTTTTTTTAAGATATTTTCCTCAAACGCCGGAGAAAGGGGCGCTATTATTAAGTTTCTGCCCCGTTTCGAAAAAATCGTATATCCGGTTCTGTAAAATACGTACAGTGCCGTAAAGTAGTGCACAAATTATGACCAAAAGGTAAATGAAGATAAAGGAATATCATAAAACAGGTAAGTACATATATGTTTTGTTCTAAAATGCATTAATGATGTATGTATGTATGTTATGGAATCTTCCGTAACACTATGTTACGGAAGATTTTGTGCGTGCGGTGTTCTATTTTATAATTAAAAGATACACTTTTAGGTAATTTGTTTTATTATACTTTACTTATGGTTAGGTCTTATCAACGACTGCCATGACAGGATGTGTACGGATGTTCATAGACTATATCAAAGTTAAGTGCCATAGACTAGTATAGCTTGGTTTACACAACACCTCCTTCCTAAAGATTTAATTTCTGGGGTGGTTTAATAGCACGACCACTCCTGGACAATTTCAACGGAAAATCAGTTTTGTCATTTACATCACCAGGTTCATTACACGGTTCAACTGGTTCATTATTACAGGGTGTAGAAGGTTCATTAATAATAACATTATTCCTGTCATACATCAAAGGGATCAAAGGATCAGACTTAAATACATTATTTTTACTCCGTGTAAATGAGGACTTTAATTGAGAACTATTGCGTCTTAAAAATGATCCACTGTCAGTAAGAATCACAAAAGATCTAGGCTCTTTAGAATGCTTAACAACCTTAGCTTTTAGCCACTTTCCTCCCTCTCTGTATACTACATGATCACCAGGCCTAAAAGTAACATATCTCTTGGCTCTCTTATCATAATGTTCCTTGGTAATAGATTGTTTTAACACTAGTTGTTTATATACATTATGTATTTTGGGTTTTAAACAATACATTGTACTTGGTACTAAAGTTCTCACATTTCTACTATTAAGTATTTGAGAAGGTGTAACATCTAGGCCTGAGAGTGGAGTATTATTGTATTGCATAACTCCTTCTCTATAGTCTGTCTTATCTTCTTCACATTTTCTCAAAATTTGCTTACTAATGTGAACAGCTTTTTCTGCCATCCCATTGCTTTTTGGATAATGTGGTGTACTGGTAGTTAACTGTATGTCCTTAGACTTAAAGTAATCCTGACATTCAGCAGATGCAAATGGATTATTGTCAGCAATCAATTCCAATGGGTAACCAAATCTAGTAAATGCATTTTGCATTGAATGAATTACACACTTTGAGGTTTTACTTGCTAGTGGCAACAATTCAAGCCAATGTGAAAAGTAGTCTACAATAACAAGAAAATATCTTCCACGAAAATCCAAGATATCACAGCCTACTTTCAAATATCTTTTTTTTGGAATTTTGTGTGGAAGCAAAGGTTCACTACAATTTTGAGGGCTGTACTTCTCACAAGTTCTACATTGTTTTACAAAGTTAATTAAGTCCGTTCGCATATTAGGCCAGTAAAATGTGTTTTTAGCTCTGTTTATACACTTAGCAATACCATTATGACCTTGATGTATTATTTCCATTATATATGATTTTAATGAACAGGGTACAATTAGCTTATGTTCGAAGAACAATAAGCCATCTTGTAAGTAAATGGTACCTTTTAGTTTTGCAAAACTTTGACAATCTTTAGTTATAGTTTTGGGCCATCCATGATGATAATAATTTATAATTTTGTTTAGAACAGGATCATTGTTAGTAGCACGTCTAAATACATTTTTCCTTTCAGGTGACATTGGTAAGTATCTAGATATAGAATGGACCATATGTAACATTTCACTATCATACTCGGTAACTTTGAGACTATTTCTTGACAACATATCTGCAAAATGAACCAATTTTCCCGGGACATAGTACACATTCAGATTGTACATTAATAATTTTAACCGTAGGCGTCTCAACCTAGGGGACCCCAGTTTACTGACATGCTTTTTAATTATAGAAACAATAGGTTTATGGTCTGTTTGAACATCCACTTCAAGTCCATATATAAACTTGTGAAATTTCTGTACTCCAAAATAAATTGCTAATAATTCTTTTTCTGTTTGACCATAATTTAACTCTGTATTATTCATAGTTCGAGATACACAAGCAATCAATCTAGGGATATTTTTATCATCATTCTGGAACAAGCAACATCCCAGCCCATTTTTACTTGCATCACACTGTATAATACATTTTAATCTTGGATCAAATGGAGTAAGTGCTGGTGTGTTACAAGCTCTATTTTTTAATTTTTGAAATGCTTCTTCATGTATTGGAAGCCAAGTAAATTCACAATCTTTTCTTAATAATTTACATAATGGTGACATAAGTTCAGCCATATCAGGTACATATCTTCTAATATAACTAAATGAGCCTATCATGCTTTTTAATTGCTCTTTATTTGTAGGTGAATTTAACTTTGTTAACGATTCAACCCGTGACTTATCAATACTCATGCCTTTTTCACTAAAAATTTGACCTACATACTTAACCTCTTTTTTTTTAAATTGAAATTTATCTTTATTAAATACAATACCTAAACTTTTGGCTTTACTAATTACAACATTTAATGTACTATCATGGTCCTCAACAGTAGATCCCATTACTAAGATATCGTCAGCCCATACAGTTACATTTGGTATAGTGCCAAAATGTGTTTCAAGAACATCCTGGAAGAGTTCAGGTGCATTCATAAGACCGTAAGGTAACACACAATATCTGTATACACCAAAAGGTGTTGCAAAACAGCACTTCCAAGATGCCCCTTCAGTCAACTTTAGATGATGAAATCCTTCGCTTAAATCTAAAACTGAAAAATATCTCTTTCCTTTCAATTTACAAGCAATTTCATCTAAAGTTGGTAAAATTTTAGGCTTTTTAACAATATATTTATTTAGGTCAGAGGGGTCCAAACACAATCTAATTTTCCCATTAGGGCGTTCAACAATAACTATTCTGTTTACACAAGCCTGTGAATTAATATTATCTACTTTAACAATTGCATTTCGTTTTACCAGTCGGTCAAGCTCACATTTCACGGGCTCATACAAAGCATTAGGAAGCCTGGGTGATGGATAACAAATCTGTTCCTGAATATCTCTAGTGGGTATATCAAACAAACCTGGCAATTTACCAGTACCTTGAAAAACTTCGATATTATTATTTATAAAATTATGTTTTTCCCCATCATTTACATTTTCATCTGGTTTCACCTTAAAAACTCTTTTTACCAAGTTCAGCGCCACACAACCTGGAAGACCAAGCAACATGGAATTTGAATTTACAATCACAAAATTTTCATAACATGTGTTATCTTTATATTTACACAGTCCGTGTGGTGACGGATTAAGAATACAAATTGTCACTACCCCAATTCATCCCGTGGGTGTCGTAAGAGCCGACTAAGGGAGCAAACTAAGCAGGACAACAGCACTGCAAAGAGAAGGAAAACTTGAAACAAACCCTATACCAACCCGTCTGGCCAGCGTGGTATAGTAGGCCAAAACCTCCTTTCTAAGGAGAGGCCTATGTCCAGCAGTGGACTAGTATAGGCTGTTGATGATTGATGAAATTTATCATTCCTAATGGTTTTGTTTTGTTACCATCAAATGATTGTAATTTGATATTTGTATCTATCATTTTTAAGTTTAGATCTTTATTAATTTGTTGAAATATTGATAACGGCATGACACTTATCTCTGCACCGGTGTCCAATTTACACTTTACACATTTACTTTCAATATTTATATTTTCATACCAATCGTTGGAGCAGGTATCCTTGAATTTGGTCATCCCGCAAAACAACTCCTCACTACTGCTGGTGTCATCGGGCTTCTCATCAAATTTTACTTCTTTAACTTTCTTGGCATGTTGGGGTATCTTTCTGCAACTGACTGCAAAATGATTGAGTATCCCACATTTTGAACAACGCTTCCCGAATGCTGGACATTGTCTCGGACCATGTTGTTTCTGGCATCTCATGCATGAAAATGTGTTGTTAATCGTCTTTTTCAACACGTCCACTTCTACTGCGGTGCTTGTATTCATTTGCTGTACTTGTTTTTTACTCTGTTCAGATGTCCTGCAGTAATGAATGGCTTTCTCTAATGTTAAATTTTCAATTCGTAAAAGATTTTCTTGAATAGCTTTGTCATACACTCCATGCACGATTTTATCACGAAGAATCTGATTTTCTAAGGGCTCCGAATCTGATGTTACATTGTACTCACATGTTTTAATAAGCTCTCTGCAATTTGTGAGAAACATTTCAAATGGCTCACCATATCGTTGTTTTCTCTCGTTGAATTTAAACCGCTCAAAGCTATTATTAATTTGCGGTGATACGAATAATTTTATCGCGTCGATTACATTTGTATACTTTTCTGCATTTTCATCTTTTATGGGCAATGTCTGTAAAATACGAGCTGCCTCTGGCCCCATCATATTTCGTAAAAGAGAAAGCTTGACTTTGTCTTCAGCCGCATTTTTTCCCACCGCCACCATATAGTCTTCGAAAAGCTGTAGCCAAAATTTAAACTCACTGGCTGCGCTTTCACTTTGCAAATTCAGATTAGGAGGCAATTTCACTGACGCCATTTTCTGAGCTTGTTTAGTCTTGATGGCAATAACTATCAAATCCAATCTAATCCAACACTTAACTGTGGATTTGCAGATACTAATAATAATTCTTGATAATATTCAGCCCAAAAAATATCCTAGACTGCGCCATGTTCTATTTTATAATTAAAAGATACACTTTTAGGTAATTTGTTTTATTATACTTTACTTATGGTTAGGTCTTATCACAGAACATATATACCCCTAAAGGGGAAGAATAACGACTCCATACTATTTTTATGAGGAAATTTTTCCTTACCGGCCGGCGCCATCTATGCTCCGCCCACCAAAACTAGACAGTAGAAGCTAGGGCGGGAATTTCAAAACAGATACTTTGTATTGCATTTTATGCACGAGTACAGTGCGTTTCTCGATAGTGTTCATCAAGATGGTCAATTATTTCTCAGCAAAAACAATTGACATCTAAACGACATCACTATCGAGAAACACACTGTACTTGTGCATAAAATGCTGAAAGCAATATTTATGGAACAGTGTAATAAAAGAAACATTAGTATTTGACTTTTTTATTTAGCATAATATTCATTATAATTTATCAGATATTCATATTATAAGCAACTATATACTAATTTTACATGAATAAATGTGTTTTTGGATTATATATTCATTTGGGACAAAAGGTGTTCACAAGTATGTGTATGTAATTTTTTTGCGTGTGTTGTGGCCACCCTCTAGTGTCAGAGCTTATTAAGTCGCCTCTGGGAATCCCACAGGCCTCTGACATGGCGTGTATGTAATGATAATTAATCATAAAATTTGTAGCTTAATCTAAACACAAATTAAACATAATATTCTAAAAATGAGATAATACATACAATTTGAAAATACAGCAAGCATCTTCGACCATATGGTCTATTGCATACAATTTTAACATCAAAAACCTAGACAAGGTCAAACACAAGTTTACACTTTACAGACATATATCATAATATTATATAATATGTATTATTTCAGTTTAATAAAATAAAAAATAAAGAAATGGTTAACAAGAGAGATACTTATTATTTTGGTTGAAGGTAGACAGATCTGACCAATTTAGCTACACTATCGTCCATTAATAAAACAAGTTGTAAAATAATAAATAAAGCATAATCAGCCTATAATGAAATGAAATGATGAAATGATATTTATTCCTGTAAGTAAATCTTTTCAGATATTTTTACAAGTCGGACTTTATAGCTAGAAGGAGCCGGCATTTCCTAAGACTCACTTTGGGAAGAAACACCGAAACAAACCACAGAGGTGTCTTTTTTTTTTTTAAGTCCGTAAACAAAGTTAATTAAAACTGTGCGAGTACAGTATAGGGTCTGGATAGGCCTTTTGAGGAAAGGATCATAGTTTTGAGTCAACCTGTCCATACAGACGGCATACAGGCTCCAGCCATCGTGTAGCCTAACCGATATTGGTCAAGATCAACGACCCGAAGCATGACACTACCGCCAGCAGGACATTTGGGTAGGCCGTGGAAACACTCAAAACCACCAGAAAGATAATAAAAAATTAATTAACATTACAAGCCTACACTGTACTCACATTTACATACTTACACAAAAAATAAAAAAATACTATACAGTTCAAAGTCAACGAAAAATAAAATACGAAAACAAAATACGAAATACACCAAAAAATAATAATTAAATGTCCATCACTTTCAAACTTAACAACAAAGATGTCTACGTAAATGTGGGAGTGAGCAGCATCAATCCCAAGCAAATTTGTCGTCTAAATAATCTGTAATAGTGTAGTAAGCCTTTTCACATAGTTTTAGCTTTACTAAAGACTTAAATTTATTAATACTTAATTCATGGAATTTGCTTGGCACTTTATTGTAAAATCGCACACCCTGACAATGAAAAGACTTGCTTACTTTTTGTAGTCTAGTGGTTGGTAACACGAGTTTATCTTTATTTCTAGTGTTTATTTTATGCATGTCGCTAAACTTTGTGAATAAATGATTATTTTTCTTTACATACACTAAATTTTCATATATATATTGAGATGCGACTGTCATGATACCAATTTCTTTAAACTTATCCCTCAGTGACTGCCTATAACTAAGATTATAAATTGCACGAATAGCTCTCTTTTGCAACACAAAGATACTTTGAATGTCAGCAGCATTTCCCCACAACAAAATACCGTATGACATTACACTATGAAAATAGCTAAAATACACCAGTCTAGCTGTTTCTACATCGGTTAATTGACGAATTTTGTAAACCGCGTATGCTGCAGAGCTGAGTCTATTCGACAATCCGTCAATGTGTGGGCCCCATTGCAATTTAGAGTCTAGTGTTATACCTAAAAACTTGGTGGTGTCCACAAGATTCAACTCCTTTCCATTTATTAGAACATTGGTCTTTACCTGTTTAACATTAGGTGTAAAAAATCTAATACATTTCGTTTTATTCTCGTTTAAAAGTAAATTATTAACATTAAACCAGTTTACAACCTTAGAGAGAGTGCTAATCACGACATCAGTTACTGATTGCTGTCGTTTAAGTTTAAATAACAGTGAAGTGTCATCCGCAAATAGTGCTATCTCCTGATTATCATTTTTCCACAAATATAAAAAGATGTAAAAAATGTTCTGTTCTGTGGATTTTTTTTCCTCTTCTTAAATCTGATGTCGACGCGTTTACTCCATCAAACAGTTCATCCATGTCTTTAATTAAATTACCCGTTGCCACTGCTCCAGTCGGCATGTCTCCTGAAAATTCACAATAAACAAATTAAATCAATATAAGTACAATATAATATGTTAATATAATTATTAGATAGTTTCACCATTTATAAAAGAGACAACCCCACATTTTCATACTGTTGAAACGAATTTGTAAGACTTGTTGTTAAATGTGCATAAGTATCATGCATAATAATTATGATGTGTGTGTATAAATGAGTTGGACCATGACTATTAAAGATGTCTCTTACCTTTAGCTATTTTGGAAAATATTCCTGCTGCAACTGAGTGGCTCAAAACTTGTGCTGCAAGTTTTACCCTCATTTTTTGCTTGGTATTGGGGTCAACGTGTTCTTGAGTTAAGAGTGGTGCATAAACAAAATTGGGATTATTATTGTCCAGTTCATAGAATTGTCTGATGTGGCTCCATTTAGCGATTCCTGTAAAGTAATTATTAAAAGTAAAATTATCTATACTAATATTATAAAGCTGAAGAGTTTGTTTGTTTGAACGCGCTAATCTCAGGAACTACTGGTCCGATTTGAAAAGTTCTTTCAGTGTAAGATAGCCCATTTATCGAGGAAGGCTATAGGCTATATATCATCACGCTAAGACCAATAGGAGCGGAGCACCAATAAAGAATGTTTCAAAAACGGAGAAAATTTATTACTATTGAAAGACGCAGACGAAGTTGCGCAGGTCAGCTAGTTAAGTATAAACTACATACATATTATTAAACACTTTTTTTAAACTAAATATCAAAAATTATCTCTATTATTATTAATTATTATTGGGTCTTATCAACGACTGCCATGACAGGATGTGTACGGATGTTCATAGACTATATCAAAGTTAAGTGCCATAGACTAGTATAGCTTGGTTTACACAACATGCGGTATGAATAAGTATAACGTATCTTTCTTAAAATATAATTGATAGTACTTAAAATATAAAAATAATACTTTCTTATTTAGTAGGTATTGTATTATGTAGTATGAAAAATAATAATTTAAGAGGTAAAATTAGAATTAACTAACTTATCTTATTCAATACATTTTTAAGGAATTGCAATAAAACTTCGTAGTAACAGGCTTTAACGTTTATCAAAATGTGTATACGAGTATAACCAGTAGCAAAAATTGTGCCAATGTGAGTGTAAGACAGTAAAACTTATTTTGTGAGCTATGTTTTTCAAAAGTTAAAAATCCTTTACACAAACTACCACTGGAAAAATCTGATCATGCCCATGCCCGTTATTTTGATGTAGGTAGGTATATATTATATAAAGCACACTACTTTATTTAGTCATTATATTTTTCTATTTTTATATTATTTTTTTTAAGTTAGTATTATTTATAAAATAAAGTTACTAATCGAGACATATTCCGGTCTATCGGGATGTATGGGTAGCCCTACTTAGTTATTGTAACTTAGCAACGTATCGTATAGAAGTTATTATTTAAGTATCTAAATGTAATGAAAGTAATAAAATCAAATAAAATGGAACAAAAGTGTATTTTATACGAATTTATTTTCATAAAATAACATTGTAGCTATGGGGCCAATTCTTTCATAAAGTAAACATTCTTATACTTTGTAACATTGTTGTTATATAATTTAAAAAATTATGCCTATTACGAATAATCGTGGTAACGTAAGTAACTAAAAACATTTCAAATATGTAAATTAAATTTTCTTCAATCAATAGTTTGATATTCACTAGAATATCTTTGACACAAAGGTAAGGAAGATTGCTTTTCGTACAAGAGGAAGATCGGCACAATCACTTGATACTGGTGGTCCCCGAGTAGATTCTGGCGCTGGTGGGGACGGCCGGTTATTTCTTCAAATTAGACCTGCATTAACTGATCCAAGAGCAGCTCTAGCGCAACGATCCCACTCAACGCTGTCCGGGTAAGTTACTCATTAATATTGGCATGAAAGTACATGTGCATATCTGTTCTATCCAATACCTATTACTAAGTATTCTAAGAAATAGAATCTCTAGTTGCTACCCAAGCTTGTATCTAAAAACTTAAAAAAAATATATCTTCACCTGTAGGTTATTCTTTATTTCGATGCCATTTTGTAGGGTAAAAAGAAAAGGGAGAGACAATCTCAAAAAGAAAATCAGCTTTTTTCTCAAACCTTGTTACTCGGAGCGTTGCCCTTCAAAAGTAACAAATACTTGCGTTTTTTAAATTTATATTGAATTTTTTGTGTTTTAAATAACTATATACCTAGATAGAAATATTTTCATCATATCAGTCAACCAGTTAACACTTATTTATTTTGTATGTGAAAATTCAACAATCTTCTGCTTTAATGCATCCTAAGTACGTACAAAATCACGTCAATCAAAATACGTAGGTTCAAAGTACAAAAATCAATATCTGCTTGTACCTATATGTATTATCAGACGTGGCGTTCAGCAATGATCAGACATTTTTGCATAGGTAGGTACACGTTGCTACGGATACAACAAAGGCTTTCACGTAAAATCAACAAACACGATTTTTTTGATGAAAAAAAACTTTTCAGAATTTTCATTGCGTCGTTGTAATTGAAAACAGCGGACACAGAATAGATTATAGTTGCAGTAATGCGAGCTAATACTAATGTAGGTACATATTATTTAGGTATTATAGTTATCGTCATTAATATTCTGCGTAGTCTGTAGTTTTTTTTAAGCCCGCACTAGGAATATATCCTGTTTCGCGGTCGACTTTACAAACATACATGAAACGGACACCCAGACTCAGAACAGCAATTACTAATTAAAGTTAATAAATTAAAGTTACTAAATATCTTTACCGTAAATGCATAAGCTGTTTAAGAAACAATTAAAATTATTTTTGTAGCAATGATTTTTTGCACAAAGACGATAGTAAAGATGAAACAGTCGGATTACAAGCTGTGGGAGAAGGAAAAGTACAACTTCTTAGAACACCACAAGAGAAAGATAGACTACCAGATAGAATCAGTCTTGATAGGTAAGTGTACCAACCTTTTACTTTGCTTTTTAAACAGCTTCAAACAACAACAAATGAGGTTTTCAATTCAACTGTATTTTTTATTATCGACATCGCCTTGGCCCGTAGGTATGTATGATCATCATCATCAACAACAGCCTTTACTAGTTCACTGCTGGACATAGGCCTCTCCTTACAAAGGAGGTTTTCGCCTACTATACCACGCTGGCCAGACGGGTTGGTATACGTTTGTTTCAAGTTTTCCTTTTGTTTGCAGTGCAGTTTAGTTTACTACCTTGGTCGACTCTTACGACACCGACGGGATGAACAGGGGTGGTGACACTCTGTATTCTTAATCCGTCACCACACGGACTGTATTTATGATATAGATTACTAAAAACTAAAAAATTAGCATGGTCGAGCAGATCACTGCCGACACCTCGCTGAAGTCCTAAATCCTGGAAGGCTAACACACTTTAAGGTACTGACAACAAAAATCGGTTGTTTACGAGCCATTCTATTGTCATGGAAATGAGTCATAATATATGTATAGGACTCGAAACAACAGAATTTTCTACGTGATTTGGTACCTACATACAATGATACTATATACAAACAAGAGGTAGTCACACCACCAACGCACTAAACGCGAGGGTGATAATTAGGACCACTGCGTGTGTACACGTACTAATAAATTCGATAAAATTAATAAAATTAATAAGTTGTAATCATTGCACGCTATTAGATATGAAGTATTACTTACTTTCAATTTCCAGGAGAGGACTTTCATCGATCCCTCATATAGTTGGAGAACCTGGCTTAAGGTTGTTATCACTACAACATAATTTAATCAACAGTTTAACAGGATTATCACCATTAGACTTAGGTAAACTTGTGTTCCTAGATGTTTACGATAACCAAATAGACAAGATCACGTCTCTGGAAAGACTGTTTAGCTTGAGGGTACTCTTAATGGGAAAAAACAGGTAAGGTTTAAAGTCAAGGTAACACTTACTAGTTTTACTACAAAATTACATATTAAAAGTTACCCCATTTATATTTTGCAGAATAAAACGTATTGAAGGACTAACAAATCTATTAAAGTTAGAAGTATTGGATTTACACGGCAATAGAATAGGACGAGTGTGCGGTTTATCTAACTTAAGTGAACTGAAAGTGCTCAATTTAGCTGGTAATCAGATCAAATGCATTGGACAAACGGATCTTCAGGGTCTAGTTTCTTTAAGAGAACTAAATTTGAAAAGAAATCGTTTGAGAAAACTGCTTGGCTTTCAAAACACGCCTAAATTACAAAAATTGTATCTTGGTAATAATGACTTACAAAGGTAAAGGAATAAGATTTTTTTGTACTATCATACACAGAGTATTAAAAATGAGTAAGCGCACGAATACATTTCTTGAATTTTCAGTGTAGAAGACATGTCATCCCTCGCCGAAGCAGTTGCTCTTATTGAAGTATCTTTAGACGGAAACCCAGTAGCTTTAGGAGGCGATTGTACACCTTTTCTTGTTTCTTACCTACCTAATATCCTCACGCTGAGCAATATGCATGTCACTGAACAGGTACAAAGGACTAATATTAAGATTATACTTAAATAAAGCTGTTTTTAAGAATTAACAATTAAATATTACAATTAGGTTCGTAGAGCTGCCATGGCGTGGCGAAGTAACAAGGAGGCTGCACATGCTGCGTATTGCGCTCTCGGTGGAGCAGCGCAACAAGAAGCCAGGCGTGATCAAATCATCAACAATGCTCGCACTAATTGGGAACTTCTCAGGTTTTTGATTTAATACCACAGAATAGAAATTTTAGTAACAAACAGGGAGATAAATATTGTAAGTAGGCTCTTTCAGTCGGTTGAGTAATTTTGCTGTCTAAATATTGTTTTTTTTTTTTGCAAGCTGTATGTTACTAAGTTGGGAGTGATCTACATATTTGTTGGTTTTGATAAAACTAATCTTGGTCTATCTAGTCAGATGTGTAGAGATTCTGAGAGTTGGCCTTAAATTAAGTAAAAGCTTAGACAAGTACAAAAACAAATTAGAAAAATGAACTGAAACTTTTTTTGATATTAGGTCCGAAAATAAGTGCTTCATTGCGGCTTCAAGTCCAAATAAAAATGTCGATGACGAAAAGGAATATACAATAGAAGCCACGACCATGATCACACAAGTTGGTTGTACACAAACGATGGACGAAGCAGGCCTCCCTGATGTTGTAGTGGCTCTACAACAAGTCGAAACTGAGGACTCGGACTGTAAAAATAATAATAGCGACGCTGGCATAAAACCCGTGGCAGAAAATGTTCCGCGAGCTTCACCTATGAAAAAGTTACAGAGAAGTGCAACTGCAAAAAAGACTTCTGAGCGCAGAGTTAACTTTTCCGACCGAAGTGCATCTCAAGACACCGATGCCTCACATTCCACATCCACTAGCAGTGATTTAAGATTACCACCAATACTACTCCCCATAATTTCTTCTTTAGAAAATGTAAAACTATCGGAAGGGTCTGAGCCTATACTAAAACGTTGGGAAAGTATCTCCAGTGTTGAACCAATAGTTGATTCATCGTTCAGCTCACTGCCAAGTTCAAGTAGCGATAGTGAGGAAGAAACTACGAAAAGAACTATTCGACGAGTACCAACTGCTTTGAGGCGACGAGAAAACTTTAGCGCAATGCGATCCAAGTCCGTCTGTGATCCTGAAACTCGGAGATCTAAATCAAAAAACTCTGATATCAGTGAAAATGCTAGTAACATTTCAAGTAGCACTAATGTCGGCTCTGTCGCCAATTCCTCTACATCGGGTAGCGACCATAATAGTAAAGTTCTTCGGCGCGAGAGTTCACTAAATAGTAGAATGTCAAGAAATATAAGAAGTGCTACAACATCTCGGAGATCTGAAAGGGCATCTTCTGCAACTAGAGCTTCAACAGCTAAATCAAAGACAGTAAAGAGTATTAATTTGGCTAATTTCAAATCTTCGGAACCGGTCCCGAAGTCTATGCCTCCTTCGAAAGATAGAGAACAAGGTAAGTACATTTAATTAAAATTACCGACGATTCCACGACAGTGACAGTACTCGAACTTAAATTAGATTAATTAATGTTCCTGCCCCTGTACAGGAGTGGATTACTTGGTGGAAGTCTGCGATGGAGTAGTAAGCGTGTGGGGCGCGGGTGCTGTACGTCGTATTTCGCGAGATTGGGACTGGGAACGTGCGCGCGCAGTTACCCGGGCTGCATTTCACTACGTACATTACAATGCCGTAGCACAATGTCTGTCTGAGTTGAAAACCAAGTTAGTATATTTATGCGTGAAAAATGACCAGTGTGCGATAGGAAGCCTGGAAGGCACGCCCTGTTTGATTAGACCACTGAGTGTGCGCGTTGCTATAAATTTCGGATCTTACACATCATATGCAACTTTAAGGGAAGTTTTTTTATTTAGGAATGTACTTAACATCATTTCCTCAGGTTTCCAAATATATCCACTATATCCGTACGAGCAACGGGCCTGCAATGGCTGGGCCAGTTACATTCTTTAGCGGAGCTACGAGGTCTTACAGGTTTAACAGTCTTGCCCGAAGGCAATCCTATTGATGCGAAAATTTGGCGAGAATATGCTATATATAGACTCGCTCATTGGGGTTTGAAACAAATTAATGATGAACCGGTAAGTAAAATACATAAAGCCGTTATTAATAATTTAAATATGAACTTGTATAGACCTAAACTCTTTCTTCGATTATATTAAATACAGGTTACAGAAGAGGATATAAAATCAGCTAACAGGACATACGAAGGCCTTAGTGATATTGTATTGCGAGCGTTGCCCGATGCACCGCTGCAACCTCTTCTGTCAAGATTGGGAAGAAGTGGCAATAGTTCAGTGAGTGCTAAAGCCTGGTTAAGAGTAGCTGACCCTGCGTTGAGAGATGTTATAGCAAAAGAAGCGTTACAGTACAAAAAAGGACACGTATCACAGGTAATTCCTTTTTTTTTCAAATAATTCCAAATTCAAATAACTATCATTCCATAAAAGTTTAAAAAAATAATTACAGGAGGATATGAGTTGGCGTGTTCGTGGACGCGGTCAATTGTCCCATGCAATCGAACTAGCTTGTGGCGCTGCTCAAAGACTAAAAGTTTTGGAAGTACTATGGCCAACAATTTTAGTCGAAATGATAGAAGATATATTAAATGATTTTTCTGATATGGAAACACATGTAAAAGAACAGATGAAAATAATTATGGACACAATGTGAATCAAACATTGTATAACTTGTTGCATGAAATTAGCGTAATAAATATTAGAAATAGGGTCAAATACCTCACCGCCAAACATAGAATATATTTAGAAAAAGTATTATTATTGTCCGGAATCAACACGGAAACTAAATCACGTTTTTTCTTTTTATACTGTTTTTAGTGACACTTGAGACGTACATTTGCAAATAGGCCATCCGTGAACTTAAAGCTGCTGTGGTATTGAACCAAATGACATCATTTAACTATGACTGAACAGTTAACTTGCTCAATCTAGGTAGGAAATTAACAATCAATTAATAAAATAGTGTAATGTGTTGTAGTTACATTGTTGCAATAGTAGGTACATAATTTAATAGTAAGTTTTGAATAGGTCTAGTTAATAAACTGCCCTGCATGTGCCTCTAATATTAAAGAATTTATAGATCTCGAAATGCTTCTTTTATTTCTATCTTATACATCCCATTTTCATTGTAAAGTTCAAATAAAATTGACTATAATGTATTGACCAGAATATTTGCCATTTGAAAATTGACTATTTGAATTGGCGAATATTTAGAAGATTATAGCTTCACATAAATACACAGAAACATAGAGAACAGAGAATTAGGTTATGAGTAGTATTCTCATTGCTTTTGTATCGGATACTATCCAAGTTCTAAGATTTCCTACCTTTTATTAATTACTAAGTCTGTTGACAAATTATATGACGCTATGATTTCGGCATGCTTCAAACAAAAATGCTGCAGCATTTGAGGCAATGATTAAATGTACGTCTAATACAAAGATCAACCAAGGTTGATCTTGGGAAGTTGTGCTATGCTAATCGGTGTGAGAACTTTTCACATCGCGATACAGGATTAGCTACTCCGCCGTTCGATATGTCTTCGTTAGATGCCACTGAAGCATGTTTTTGTTTCACTGTATGTGGAAGTCGCCACATAACCATTATATTTCCAACTCCTCGATTTTCTTCTGATTAATTTCGTTAAGGGTTCCAAGACAGTTTAATTTTATCTGGGACTTCCCGAGTGTCATACCTCGGGTGTAGGTAGGTCACTGCTGTTGATCCTGGTGTTCAAGAGTTACAGTGGCGAGCGTGTGGAAGGAATTAGCCCATAAAAATAGTGCAAAACTGAAACTTCAGAATCTATAATTCAAGTTTATTATGTAAATGTAAAAATGTACATGTCCGTAACAAAAATATATTGCTATATATCTTTAATATGAAAAAAATATCGTTTCTTTTATTTAAGATTATTTTTTATGGCATCACCGAAAGCTTTAGCACCTTCATCATTTTCTGCAGCACCAGGCAGTTCAGAGCATTGTTTCACCCACCTTTGAATGTTCGGGAAACTTGAGATGTCCCAGCCAACCGCCTACAAACAAAAAAAAAACTACTATTATAAAGCTGAAGAGTTTCTTTGTCTGGTTGAGCGCGCTAATCTCATGAACTACTGGTTTGAATTGAAAAATTCTTCAAGTGTTAGATAGCCCATTTATCGAAGACGGCAATAAGCTTTATAACATCACGTTACCACCTGAGTAACAATGAAAAATATTGCAACAACGGCGAAAATTTACTTCATTTGAGAGACGCAGATCGGCGCGGGTCAACTAGTTATTATTTAGTTTAGATAGTTATGTGCTGTTAGTGCTGTTAGTGCACGAGGTTGAAACCCACGAAGAGAGGTTAGTTAGAGAGAGCACGCGGAGGAAACATATTCAACATACAATAAACCCTAGAATGAATATAGCTCGGCACTGTGTTCAGTATCAATCCATTAAACTTTTTAACTGTTTACCGGAAAGCATAAAAAGCGTAATTTATAGGACTTCTTTATTTAAATGAAAACTTGCGAGCCTTCCTGTTGGAAAATAACTATTATTCCATCAATGAATTTATCAATCAAAATATATGCAATTAAATACTTAATAACTTATGTAACAATAATAAATATTGTGAATAATATTCTTGAATCATGAAATGTCTTAATATAATTTATCGTTTGTTTTTTTTGTATTCTGCATGACATATTGTAAAATCTATCAAAATTATTTGTTTTTTTTTTTGATTACTATGTTATTTATATTTTTGTTTTAATTTTTAAATATTTTTGTATTACGGCGAATTGGTATACATTCAAACACAATTATATTATTGTTTGTGAATAAATGAACTATGAACTATAATATAGATATTGGCGAATGTTTTTTAATACAACAACTGCGACTAATATGAAATTTCAACAAGTATGTAGATGTATAGTAGTCGATAATATTGCAAATATTTGGACAATCAGTCAGAGTCAGAGGAGTCAGAGATAAACCACACTTGAATATGAATTCGGGCAGAATCTTTTTTTTTTTATTACAATTTTTAAAATGTCATATTTTTATTAGCCCAAATCATGAACGAATTATTGTTTATAGGCTAAGCGCAATAGAAAGTGGTAGATTTTTTTTTCTACAATGTTAAAAATACCTCTAAAGGAGAAGGGCTCGTGGCTAAATGGCAACCGAGTAGGTTAGCGCATTGCAAATTTAAGCAATCCTAGCCAGGTCAGTCTATAGGTGGGTGACCATCCTTAAGACATTGAGACCAGTCCGTGCCTCGGAGAGCACGTTATGCCGTCGGTCCCGGTTGCAATAAGAAACTCAGTGGCAATCGTAATTGGTAAATGGAGCACTAAAGATCTCGACAACAGTCTATCTATCATCATCCTATCGCAGTCCACTGCTGGACATAGGCTTCTCTTATTGCATGCCACTTCGATCGGTCTTCATCTTCTCGCATCCAGCTAATGCCTAACCCGGCGGTCTATGTCGATGACCTTGGTTCTTTGCGTGATCGCCTCAGTCCTGACGCGATGGCGAATGGCTCTTTCCACAGTACGATGAGCGACTTTGAGCTTGTGGACCAGCCGTACCGTAAGTGTCTACGTTTCGTCTCCGTGTGTCATAGCGGGGAGAACGCACTCTTTGAAGACTTTCGTCTTTAGGCACTGTTGGATCAACGATGAGAAAACTCGACGTAGCGTCTCAAACGCTGCCCAACCCAACTCAATTCTATTCACCTCGTGCTCGAAGTTGTTTCTACCTAACTGCAATGTCTGCCCGAGTTATACATATTTTTAAATAGCTTGCAAAACAGCACCCTGTACCGCAATCGATTCCAGTAGTACATATTCATTGACCACGACTATTTTCTTAATATAATTATACCTATAAGTAAATAAATTAAGAATCAAAGCGTTGCTTGATAAGATTGTGGAAAAACTAGAGTTCATATGTCAATCAATCAGATAACACGTGTAATAAATTCATGTTTGTAATGTGTTGATACCAATACCTGTTATTCATTTTACTAATAAGTTCACACTTTAATAAACTAAATATATGCAAACGTTTTAAAACGATTTTTTCAGTTATGTCGTTAAGCAAATATGTATAGAAAAGTTGTTTCTGTACATTACAGATATTTAACAAAAAGAAATTGATTTTAAATTAAAAATAACATGCAACAAAACGCATTATTTCAAACGCAACGCAAAACTTATAACATCTTTGTATTTAATAGCTGCCATCCTAGATTAAAGGTCTAGCGCTGACCGAGCTGTTCGAGGCATTCATTGTATTTGTTGTTAGTTGTCGGTGTTCATTTAAGGTTAAGGCACCTAGCGCCCGAGATTATTAGTTTTGTTAGAATTTGTGGTGCCACCAGTTAGTTTATTCATTTATTTGGAACATTAGATTAACATTACACATTTACATTAAAACCAAAAAAAAAAAAAAATTTTTAATATTACAAGTACGCATTATGTTAAAAATTTATAAAAAAAAAACAAAAAGTAATCACGTAGATTTTACCACATGAGAGCAAATAACAACAAACAACAATGTTAGTAATAAACGTTTGATCACAAATTCAGTTCTGAACAGAAGATCTCAGAACTGTCATAAAGGGTATTTTCGTGGTAAAGTATTAAACATCTAACGTTGACTGTAATGTCATTTTATCGTATTGTAACTGAAAATTAAATCGGTAATCTGCTAGTTTTATAAAATAGGGTAGGGGAGCCCACGATGCTAAATGGGGATTTACTAGAGCGTCATGGGGATGGGAAGGTTTCAAGCAACAGCATTTTTAGGTTGAAAGGTTGCTTCTTTGGAGTTAGTTTAGTTCGAGCTACAATGCGATAAACATCGAAGCGATTGAAGTGAATAGAAGTGTGACCCAACGACCTCGGCGATGATTCCGAACTATTTTTGAGTATTGTGTGAACGTTTTTAAGTGTAGTGCTAATAAGTCAGTGTTTATCTATATCTTCTTTATCGTAATCCAATCATTTGACGAAGTCAGAATCATATCTCTATGGTATCAATCATCCCATCTGTTAGTCAAACTGTTGACAGATTCACCTGTGTAGATAAACAAGTTATTTAAATAACTTGATGTGATTGATTTTAATTTTTAAAATTTTCAAACTAAGTAAATATGAGTACATAAATCTCGCGACAAGCTTTTATAATATATAAATTATTGAATGACTTTATAAGTTGTTAGTAAAGGTTTTATAGGACAAGTTTATTTTATTCTTCTTAGTACATTTAAATGAAAGATTTTTTTAAAATATTTTTTGATTAATTTATTTACCTCCAAGGTTTAACATATATTATGTTATGATAGGTATACAAAAAGTTCTGTAAGATTTCACAAACCTTTATAAATTATACTCTGCGCTTTATTTTTAGACGATTTTCAAAATATAAATAAAAAATATTCAGTGGTTTAGAAGCAGGACATTTTTGCTTTCGTAATTTGCAACATCGTGTGTAAATGCAGTCATAATCATAATACCTACATGGACCTCAGGCGGCGATCAGCTGTATACATCATCATCATCATCATCATCAACAGCCTTTAATAGTCCACTGCTGGACATAGGCCTCTCCTTAGAAAGGATATACATGGCGCGGTAACATCACACGTTGGCCGTTGCCGCTTTTATTACACTCGAATCGAACGAAATATGGTGTGCGTTACCCCAGCAAAATAATGTCGAAAATGGTCATTTAAACTTTATAGATAATTAGTTGCTCTGTAATTGTTAAGCACATTTTTAAATTTGTTTCACTTAAACTTTTTTAGTTATTTCAAAAAAACATTTCCTGCTGGAGTAACGTTTGAAACGTTACCGCAGCCAGACATTTTCTTTTTTAATTGTAATATTGAAATAAATTTTAGCTAGATAATTAGTTATCTGGACTAGGTAAATGTTACAACTTATTTGGTATTTGTATTTTCTTCGGTTGCGAAGTTATTCGAAATCCTGCTGGAGTAACGTTTGTGGGTTTACTGGATCTCTGAAACGGGTAAGCGGATTGTAACCATCTTTTGTACATAACTTCTTAAGGATTAGTTTTAATTTGTTCGACAATAAAATAATAAAAATAATGGACCGTTTAAAAATTATTTAGGTAAGTATGAAAACACTTCAATACGTCCTAACACTTTTAATAAGACCTCTAAAGACTTACTTGAAACGTTATTCTATTGCTTGTAACTACCTTCAAATGTATACGAATTTTCGTAAGAATACTGTAAGTGACTAAAAAGTTATGATGAAATGTAGCTCTCCACGTTCACGATCACAATGTGTGCGGCCTTTTTTGGCCACCGATAAACCTGTGTGTGGATATATAAACTGAATGTTATGCCAATAATTAGTTGTTTAGTTCAGTTGTCTACCTGTAAAATTTCAGCGTAGTACATATAATAATTTACGAGATAATTAAATAAAAGTCATTAGAAGGTGCAAGACCGTGGTAACCCGACCATGTTTAGGTGGTTACAAAAAAGCGATCACCCAGTAGATTGTGCTGGCTTTTAAAATATGTAGGATATTATTTGGAAGTTTACTACGGATATGTACATAAGTGTTACGAAAAACTACATGTTTTTTAAATATTTTTTATTTAGGATTGTTTATTGCATAATTAGTAATCAGCCGGGAGATTAGGTATTGTTTTGAATGCTTTTATTTTCTCGTAATGTTTAGGTGAATTGTTTATAGTTGTTCATAGAATTGGTACCTGCGTAGTATTTGTTAATTGAAGTTTAATTTTAGGGTAGGTATAGGTAATTTAAGAAATATGAAATGAAATGATAAGTTTTGAAGAGTGTAACGTATGCGTTGTAAATAGGTATTTTGTGAATAGATGGGGATTTTTTTAAGTGATGAATCGACTTAGGCTAGCATATCGCGAACAAACTCTGTATTGCATTATTTCTGTAATAATGCTGGAGAAAATAAAATATTTAATCACAAAATCGCGGTGAGTTAAATTATAATAAAATAAACTATTTATGTAAAATTAGTAATAAGTGATATACCTACCTAAAAGTTATGATCGTTTTTAATTTGTTCACCCTGAACGAAATTTCAATATTAGCATTAGTAATTAATATCCTAAGACAAGAATTGACAATTACTTAAATTGAATCGAATTAGCATTAATGCCTATTATTAGTAATTAGGTACACACATATTGAAGAACTCTCAAGAATACGATAAATATTTGCAAAAATAGGAAGCGGAAGCGCACACGTACTTTACAACACGTATATTATCTGCCTAAGGGTCAAGTTTAGTGCACTAGATGCAAAAGGCAAACAATGAAGTATCCCTTCGCCCCTCCCCTCCCGCGTTCTAGCGAAGGATGTATTATCAGCGATTCTTGATTGACAAATATTATCTGACCAATAATTTTATCTATAAAAATGTATCACTTTCACTCGATAAATTAAATTACCGTTATTATATCAAAATATCATTCAACAACTGTTCGTTTTTAACAGAAATCAACAGTCACGGGCTCAACGCTTAACGGTGGGTACATAGGTATAGATAATTCTCGGTTCTAGGTATAGACCACAGAACAATATTACCTACTATTACGAGGTATACGACTGTTGGGCGATGCAATGTTGATGCATTCTAATTTACAACTGTATTCTTCTACTATTCGGTCTATTTTAACTTGTTGTAGATGACTTGTTGCTTTAAATATTTTGATGCATTCAAGTCTAAGCTCTATACACCCCAAAATAAAATACAATTACTTTAGTGTTATTTCTTTACAAAAAAAAAATCAAAGAAATGAAACGATTTCTTATTGGTTTAAATTTTCGTTTTATTGAAGTCAGGTGAATCGTTCATACATGTATCTACATATTTATAATTTTAGCGGACCAGTGCAGATTTTCTATTGATTGTAGCTTATGTAGTTAAAAAGACTAAAGAAATTTTAAGTAAAGAAATTAGTGCTTAAGATCAATTAGAAAAAAAAAAACAAAATAAATAATAGGTAATAATAATGAATAAATATTGAATGTATTTAACACTGCACGCAACTGTACCGAAATCGTAAGGTGTATTACACTAAACATTTTAAAAGACAGCGCAATGTACTGGGTGATCGCTTTTTTGTAACCACCTAAACATGGTCGGATTACCACGGACTTGCACCTTCTAATGACTTTTATTTAATTATCTCGTAAATTATTATATGTACGACGCTGAAATTCTACAGGTAGACAACTGAACTAAACAACTAATTATTGGCATAACATTCAGTTTATATATCCACACACAGGTTTATCGGTGGCCAAAAAAGGCCGCACACATTGTGATCGTGAACGTGGAGAGCTACATTTCATCATAACTTTTTAGTCACTTACAGTATTCTTACGAAAATTCGTATACATTTGAAGGTAGTTACAAGCAATAGAATAACGTTTGAAGTAAGTCTTTAGAGGTCTTATTTAAAGTGTTAGGACGTATTGAAGTGTTTTCATACTTACCTAAATAATTTTTAAACGGTCCATTATTTTTGTTATTGTATTGTCGAACAAATTAAAACTAATCCTTAAGAAGTTATGTACAAAAGATGGTTACAATCCGCTTACCCGTTTCAGAGATCCAGCAAACCCACAAACGTTACTCCAGCAGGATTTCGAATAACTTCGCAACCGAAGAAAATACAAATACCAAATAAGTTGTAACATTTACCTAGTCCAGATAACTAATTATCTAGCTAAAATTTATTTCAATATTACAATTAAAAAAGAAAATGTCTGGCTGCGGTAACGTTTCAAACGTTACTCCAGCAGGAAATGTTTTTTTGAAATAACTAAAAAAGTTTAAGTGAAACAAATTTAAAAATGTGCTTAACAATTACAGAAGGGGAGCAACTAATTATCTATAAAGTTTAAATGACCATTTTCGACATTATTTTGCTGGGGTAACGCACACCGAAATATGTTAACTATTGCCTCATCAGGATGAAGTACACGCGTTTCTAATTAGTTCATCCAGTAAGTACAGCCAGTCGGCCCATAGTCACCGCGATTCACAGAGTGTTATGCTGTTCTATGTCCTTGTAGATGCGCTCATAACGAATTATCGTAATAATATTATTGTTATTCGTTAGATATTTGTTTACAAAAGTTTTAATTGATGTAATAATAATTGTTCAGTCTTTTTGCGTTCGTCGTAATACACAGCGATGGTGTGTTATGTTATCATGTGCGTAAGACTTCGTATTGTAAGGAGTCCCGCTAATTTTATTTTGAAGTGTCAATATTAGTTTGTGTTGTGTAGTGTACCTATGTGAAACTGTGTGCATTATCAATCTTTTGACTCATGTTAAAATGGTGTTCTAATTTGGCATTATTTTCTTGTATTTATTTTGTTCTAAATTTGCACTTCTATATTTTCGTACTAATCTTTTATTTTTATTTAAATCAACGTAACATTGAACCGTGTTATCTGTACTTTTATTTTTTGTGATTAGCTATAGGACAGGTTGTACATATTATTAATTTGTTTTGTTTGTTTAAACATTTTCTATAATTTTAATGATGAAACAAAATCTCAACTATTTTTATTTGTTAATCTAAGTCAAAATATTTTTAAATCATAAGAAAATTAAAATTATTTGAAATTCTCTTAATATTGTTTCATCAATAATTATTATTTAATTTGTATTTCATTTTTGTGGCCATTGATGGAACACTTACTTTCAATAATGTAAATTTAGTAGAGTAGTAAAGCCCAAGTAAAGTTAGTTAGACATGCAATACTATGTAGGTATAATATTTTTAACAAATTAATGCATTTAGCGATCTGTAGATAATGTGTTTAAGCTTATTAGTATTGCTACTATATTAGTTTTGTGACTTTGGTAAAATTTGAAAATATGGACATAAAAGTTTAGCCATGCAATTAATTGTGATTTTTTTTATCTGACCATTATAAAGCAAGCTATCAAATATACAAAATTATTACTGGCTGAATTATATATTTAAAAATTAAAGTAATAAAATTATGAGTAATAATTTTACCAGAATACTTGACAGCGATGCATAGGTAGATGTGTCTGCAATAGTCGGGCTGTCTCCAGCGACCCACTCACTGTCACTTAAGAAAGTCTCCAGGAAGCCAAGAGTGGTGTTCAAGTCATCCCTCAATGGTTGGCTTATCTCTTTAACACCAAAATATAATATTGGTAACTGTCAACAAAAATTTCGTATTACATATTTTTTAAGGAAATTTTCATTAAAGCACTTTTACTAAACAAGTTTACTTACACAAATAGCCCTAATCTTTACATACAAAGATGAACTATCGAAAAACAATCTCTGATTGACGAGTGCCCGCTTCTTTAGATCTTTAGGATAAAACTGGTCATCTTTTCCATATTTATCAGCCAAATAACAAGCAATGGCACGACTTTCCCATATGATAAAACCATCATCGTCCAAAGTAGGCAGACAATGCTGCGGATTTATTTTCAAGAAACTTTCATTTAATTGTTCTTTTTTAAATAAATTGATAACTTCAATTTCTACCGGCACTCCGATTACCCTTGCCGCAAATAAGGCTCCACGTGAAGGACCACTGACATTAAAATGATATAACTTTGGGGCCTGGATATCTTTTAAATTCGACATGTTCACAGTTCACACTTAAGCTGTAGTGTAGTTACTGTAGTTTTGCTTTAAAACCAAATCACGCTGCACTGATTTATGTATGTATTACAAAACAAAAGTTATCTGTGTGCGTGCGTCAACGTCAACTTAATTCATTGCGCCGGATTGCGTTGGCGGCGCACAGCGGAACAGCGGGAAAATTGAAAATGTGTGAAGGTGTTCAGTTAGTATTTATTTAGACGTGAGATTTTGAGTCTAAAATTATTCTATTAATAACAAAAAGCCGTGTGGTGTCGTGGGACACCCGATAGGAACGAAGTTGTGACGATCGAGTAAAACTGATTTGTCACGATTTTAATTACAACGCCATCTATGAAAGCGGCTATTACCTACATATTAAAAACAATTAAAACAATTTATACATTGGTAAAATCTCCTTGCGAAATGATTTCCTATCTATTCGATAGATGGCGCTGAATGTCTGACAAGATGACACGAAAATAAAGAGCAAAAAGCCAACATCACGTGGTATTCCCAGGCGGTCCAAGTACTAACCACGCCCGATGTTGCTTAACTTCGGTGATCGGACGAGAACCGGTGTATTCAACATGGTATGGACGTTGGCGAACGTTAAAGCAAATTTAATGTATGGTATCCACAGTTAGACGTCAATTTATATTAAAAAAGTGTCGTTCCAAATTTTCGTACGAATTTTTTCCGTCTAGCCCCCTTTCACAACGCGCGATAAGGAACTTCGTTCCAATAATAATATTTTCGGACATCTGACACTCAACTCCATCAAGTTTCAATCTAAGCAGAATTATACTATGAAATAATTTTACTTCACCATTGTACCTAGTTAATGTTCATAATCTGCAAATTGCCTGTGTCAGTCACTAGCATCTCGAACGTAGGGCATCCCAATATTGAAGGGTTCCAGAGTTGTAGCTAGCGATTTAAACGTATCGCAATGGTTGTAGCAATTTTTTTTTGTAGCTAGACTGTATACAGGGGTTGACCGGTCAATGGCAATGTACGGTGCACCGGTGAAGGTGGAGGCTCTGACTGCTTAGAATAGGGCGTGCCTCTGGCGCCCTCAGATGGTATTGGCGGTTAGAGCAGGCCGGTTGCTAGCTGTTTGAAAGCCAGCGTGCAAAACCCAAGATAGCAGAACTATCTACCGGTATTGGAGATTTGGTCATTTGGGAATCACACACGGCTGAGCCACGATGGTTCGTTGGTGCTTCTGGCTCTAGAAAACCCAAACAGTGGCAAAGCCAGCATGTGGAGACAGGACGGGTTCTCCTCTCCAACCGCCATAATGGCCAGCGGCTTGGGGGCGATGTCCACATGTGCCTGGATGTCGCCTTAATGAGATCTTTGTCCAGATATCTTAAGGAAAGCTGTTTCGGATGCCTGTTATTTTGAGCGTGTGATTTAAGACGGTTCGACTCCAACACATACCCCGCCCCAATCGTGGGGTGGGGTGACGGTGCGAGGAGTTGCCTCACCCAAAAAAAAGGTTTTTAATATATTGGTAAGTATATACTGTTAAGTTAGTAACTTACCTCGAATTGTAAAATATGGGTTAGTAAGTATATATTATAGAAGAAGCATTTGTATCTTCATATTTCCCAAAGTCGAATATTTGTATGAGCCTGTTACGTTTACGACCTACGATCAACGCGTTTATGTTTCAGGATTCCAAAAATAGCTTGTATGAAAATACTTTAGAATAAAATGTCATTCATTTGAATTTTTTTAATGTTGACTACGTACCATACGTGCATGCCACGTCTATCAGAAGATTGCACAGAGTACAGTAATATTTATTAAATAGTGACAATATTGACATTGACAATACATAAAAGATTGTCATTCTTTATTCTATTTACTACAAGTGAATTGGGCATTTTAAAAATCTGCTCAATTCGTACTTAGGTAATATTATTTTTTTAAGATTAAAATGCATTAGTTGCAAAAATACTTACGCTATGGATGATACTGAAAGTACAACTACATCAGCCGATGAGAATACAGGTAACCTACTCGATAACCCAACGAGAGACACACTTGCAGAGGGCCTCCTTGGTTTTCTAAAACCCACTGTTGACCAGTTAGACGACAGAGTTAGAGCCACAAGGTAAGTATAAAAGTCGAAGATTATTTATTATTATAGCTTGTGAACTGAAAGAAAAAACTTAGATTAAACTTCAGAATAAATTCTAATTAGTATCCACCTATTTTAAGAATTATCTTGATCTGTCGATACAAGGTTGATCCTAGATATTTTCATGATTTCTTGGTTAGTATTAGAAACAATTGTCTACTTAGTAGCTAACAGGCTAAGTTTCTCAGGTGTACTAATTAGGTTTATATTAATTCTAAATATTCTGTTTCATATTCTGTTAATTCATAATAAATTTAAGTTAACACAAATATTTACTATCACAAAACCTTTTCAGAATATCTCAACTAGAATTGAAGCAACAGATAGAATCATTGAATGAAGAACTACAGAATGTCCGTTCTGCACTAAATGATCATCCAGATCTTGACCCTTATGTTAAGAAGTTAATTTCATGTAAACATAAAGTGACTGTGGTACTCAACGTCTTACAAGCCTCACAGGTAAGATGTATGGCACAACACACACATATCAATTAAAATGGGGCACTTACATTTATAAGTGCTAAACAGCAAACAAGCACATGGTTCATTTTAAACATATTATTATTATATTTAACACTTGGAGATATCCCATTGCTTAAAACAGTTAACCTGAATACTGGACTGGTAAACACTAAACAAAACCAACATTTCCTTATGAATATTTTTGCAAGAAACATTGCTGAAGAACACATATGTTCTGTGGTCTAAAGAAATGTATGTAATTTACTTATCCTACTTTTCCCGGACCAATATATTGCTATTTTATATTTGTTTGAATTATATTTTTTTTCTACCTATTCCTAAGTGCATATGACTTTGCTCTTACATTTTCTGCTATCTTCTATTCTAAAGTTTTGCTGGTAGAAAACTAAGATTTGGGTTAAGCTTGCCTTATTATAGAAATCATAATATGGTTTTTTGGTCATTTGCTAGGAAAAACACAAATTATAACAAACAAAAAATTTAAAACACTTATAAAACAAACATAATACAAAAACTTATAACACAAAACAAATAAATTTATATCAACTCAATGAAAGTTTACCTAACAGTATTTTAAACATGTCACATGTAAATTAGTTCAATCTAGATTTACGAATCTCGCAAACTTTTATACTAATGTATTTTTAAAGGTTGTATTAATCAATACAATACTTTTAATAACTAATAAATTTCTTGAAAATTCCAGGACAGATTAAATGAAATTCGCCGGGTAGTAAATAAGGAGAAACGTGTACGTACAGCTGTATTACCCGAAGCAGCGCCACAAGAGCCTGAACAGGGCACAAGTGGTACAGTATCTGACAAAGGCAGTATCAACTGAAACCATGGAAACACCATATCAGAATCATATTGATAAGGCTAACTTCAAACATGTCTATGAGCCAGCTGAAGACAGTTTCCTGCTCATTGATGCATTAGAAAAAGATTTAGAATATTTAAAAGCCAAGAACCCTGTTTTCTGCTTAGAAGTTGGTTCAGGCAGTGGTATTGTAATAACAGCTTTGGGTATGGTGTTGCCACAATGTTTCTGTATAAGTACAGATATTAACAGAAATGCTTGTGTTATGTCCAAGGACACAGCATCATATAATAAGGTTGTTTTGGACGCTTGTAACATGGATTTGGCCTGTTTATTTGTTGATAAAATGTTTGATGTTGTTATATTTAACCCGCCGTATGTTGTGACGGAGAGTGAAGAGTGCAGACGGACCGACATCACAGCTAGTTGGGCCGGTGGAGTTAAAGGCCGTGAAATAACTGACAGACTACTTGACATAATACCAAAGAAACTTGCCGATGATGGGGTCTTTTACCTGCTGCTTGTTCAAGAAAACATTCCAGATGAAGTCGTAAAAATTATGTCTGGTTATGGCTACAAGTGCGACATAGTTATTAAAAGAAAAGTTAGGAATGAACAACAATTAGTTTTAAAGTTCTATAATTAAAAAAAAAAATGCAAAATAAAAAACATTTTTTTATAAATTTTATAAAATTAACATACATATTGTATAATGATGTAGGACCTTTAAAATAAGTTAATGTATCATAATATTATTGTATTGCATTTGACATTTTTATTTTAAAAATCATTGAAAGCGATTGATGGACCCGAAGGCCACTTCTCGTAATAAAAGTGACACAAATCTTGTGATTGTTGATCGGCACTGAATTCAGTGCAGATCAACAATCACAAGATTTGTGTCAATCTCACGACTATTGATTTTATTAACGACAATGTCCGATAGTGGCAAATTATCTTTTTAGAATTGCAAGAAAGTAGCAACCCACATAAAGTCAGTTTAGTCTCTAGGATTTAAAAATAGGGTAAAATAACGTTACACAACTCACACACCACACACGGCACTCTGGTCCCAAACTAGGCAGAGCCTGTGCTATGGTAACCAGAATACTGAGAAACATACCTACTTATGTATATTGAAATAGATTTTTTATTTATTAATTATAGATAAATTATACAAATACAAAGAACAAGTGATCGTGCTTATCACTCAATTTTTGTCCTAGGTGGGAATCTAACCCAACACGACCTCTGGGTTAGGATCACTAACCACTAGATAAACAGACAAGTCAAATAATTGATTAACTGGTTTTCTATGAAGCGTTTTAAAAAAAAAATGCTTTTTTGCGTGAAAAAAACAAATTTCTTTTACCTTTTACCGCGATAACCGACATACACGCGGACGGAGCCGCAGGCAAAAGCAGGTTATTAATATAGATTTAATTGTTTTTCTATTGTGTGAAAAGTAATGCTTTGGGCGTAGTCTTGTTCCAGGAACCAATTGTGTATTTTTCTTTTAGCTTCATATTTATTTAGTGTGCTTTTTAAAATTCTTCTAAATCAGAGAACTTATTACATACCTCTAGTTTCTGGCGAAGGACGTTTTAAGTTTAGTGTTTGTGTGGGATAATATGGCCAATTTCTTCACGTAGTGGAGTCTTTTGGAGAAATGTGTTGATGTTTCCAAAGCACGGCACAAGGCACATGGCACAGAATTCCCGTTGGTACTCATCATTTCATTCATTTAACAACTCTGGTGAAGGTAAGGACTTTCAACAGAGTTGTTAAATGTAATACCTAAACGGCTTAGGCAGTGTCATTTTGAGAACAGTTCTCTGTGCTCGCTCCGAGAAACAACCTCCATCATTTTCAAAATTGTCTTGTTTGTACATAAATACTAGAATAGAATTTTCGAATTACCCGCGGCTTATAGATGATTCTCTCGTGTGTGGGAACCACGGTAATCCCTTTCTACTACCTAAAGAGCGCGCGGTCGTGTGCGTTAATTATGTGTGTAATATGTATAACGTTTAAATGACCATTTTCGACATTATTTTGCTGGGTAACGCACACCGCGCGGTCTGCAGCTCATCACGCCGCTACCCCAGCCTGCTTCTGCAAGGGTGGCAGATGGACTCACTGTCACCCCCCAGTCCTGCGCTTGTGGAGGATGCAGGTCATTCGTCGTCCTCCGGTGACTAAGTAGCTTGCGGTAGGTACTTTGCCCTGGCAGACCGGGAGAGCTCTAAATCTCCTCCGGTCCCACTCCCCCCTTTCCTATACGAGCCTACCATGGCCGCATTCATGGTACCGAGCGAGATAATTTAAACTCCGATGGCCGTCACATTAGTTGTAACACCTGCTACAAAAACTATCTTCGTTCTATGTTTATGAGATTATAATAATTTCTTAAATCTTGTACGAAAAATTCTAAATGTGATATAAAACAACGTACAATTTTTTCAAGTCTTGCAACTCCCAGAACGAAAACTTGAATCGGCCATGTTTAACATCTTTTGACATTGAGCCTAGCAACTTAGATTTCTCGATATCTATTCCTAGTGTTATCGACTGTTCATAGCGTCGTTTTTCGATTCGGAAGTTCGGCAATTTAAAAAATAAAAAATACGAAAAATAGATGATGTTTTTTTGTAACTGATGATCGACAGTATTAGAACAGTTCTTACTATTTTATTATTAGTGATCATGAGCGTAGTTATTAAAAACGCACGATTAATAAAATATGTTATTGTATTTTTTAAGAAATGGAAGAGCTAAGCATAGTTTGATTTGACTTCTTTGAGCTTGAACTGCAAAAATGTGACAAAGACGAGAGCGGATATAATATTTATCCACCCGGCAGCCTCATCTTTGTCATATCATTTAAGCAGTTTTCTTTTCTAGCATACAATATCAAAGCAAAAGACTCACCAGTCTATTGAATTTATCATATTATCAGATTAGGTACAAGTCAGTCACTAAATTGCAAAGTCGAAATGCACAATCTGTGGTGCCGACTGGCCAGCTTTTACCTATATAAAAAAGTTTAGGGTTATATATTTCAAGATTGTTATGTCAGTTTTGACAGTAGGTGTATGTGCAATAACTACTTTTTCTTTTTTGCATTTTCGTTATGCGAACTTATAAGAAGAGAAGTTATAAAACACTTGACATTAGCGGAATCTCTGCGTTGATTTTTCATGCAGTATATAGTCCACAAAAATTACACATTAAAAAAAACCTCTGTCCTGTGTAGCTAATGTGAAGTAGGTTTTAATATTCTTATGTTAACGTTTAAATAAAAGTAAAATAATGACTACAAACATATGCAGGATTTGCATGGATCAAGGATTATTAATAAATATTTTTAAAAAGATCGGCCTTTCAATGATATCTGTAAAAATTATGTCTATAGCGAAAATACAGGTAAGGAAATCAACAATATTGGTTAGGTAGCGAATTTAAAAACAAAATTAAATTCTCTTATCATCCTCTTACTCTTTAGATAACCCCTGAAGATGGCCTGCCTAATAGTATTTGTTCAAGATGTGTTCAAAAATTAAATGACTGCTTAGAATTTATCCAGCTTTGTGAATCTAGTGATGTAAAACTGAAATCGTTATTGATGCAGCAATGTCATGGTGGAAAATTAATATTAGAAGATGACAAATATGTTTTAGAAAATACAAAGTTTACATTTGATAGTGAAAACACTCTTTCACCGACTAGTGAAATTGATAAAGTGCTATTAATTGATGAAAGTGTAGACCACAGCATGCAAACACTGTTGTCTGAAGACATCATTGGAGAAGGAACTAAGTTGATTACAGAGGATGAAGTCAGTTTTAAGATTGACTCGAAAAAGACTCAAAAACAACAATGTTTTACTTGTGGCAAAGTAATGTCATCAAGGTTGTACTTAATTAATATTTATAAAATAAGTTTAGATGTCACTTGTAAACACAACAGGCAGATAGCTCTATTCTGGTTTTTACCCAACATTGATCTCTGGCAGCCTTGTTTATTCTCTATGTCCCTTCTGTATTTCTCTAGTCAAGCAATTCTAATTCAATCAGACCCGATATACTAAAGTTTAATCTAGAATCTCATAGAACTCTTTGTTAAATGTACTTCAATAATTACATTTTAACTTTTAGTAGACTTCAAAAATATTCATTGTATTTTTAAAATGGTGATTTTTTTAATTTAATTTATTAACATGTTTGCAGGTTCCGACTAAAGACTCATTTAAGAACACACACAGGGGAGAGGCCATTCTCCTGTCCACATTGCAATAAAAACTTTTCATTGGCACAAAATTTAAAGGTGCACCTAAGAATACACACTGTAAGTGATCTAATGTCTGTAATTATTAATAAATGTACTACAGGGCCCATCCCTGTGGTGACAGATTAAGAATACAGAGTGTCACCACCCCTATCCATCCTATGGGTATTATAAGACCAATTAAGAAAGCAAACTAAGCAGGACAATATAATTGCAAACAGATGGAAAACTTGAAACAAACCCCACACGGTGTGCCACTCTGCGCCTGTAACAGGAGGGATCCGGGAACAGCTGAGCGGAAACCCCATACCAACCCATCTGACCAACATGGTATAGTAGGTTAAAACCTCCTTTCTAAGGAGAGCCCTATGTCCAGCAGTGGACTATTGAAGGCCATTGATAATGATGATGATGAAATGGTATATAAATGACAAATCTTTACTGCAGCTATCAGCTACACTGTCATGAACACATGTAATGCAAGACAAACATATGTGTTGCCACAATTTTAGTACCTATATTAGTAACTTTATCACTGAATGAAAAGTAAAAAAATTTACCTAACATTGGTTTATGTCCTTATCCGCCAAGCATGGCTTGGTTAAATGTATCTTCTTATTCTGATGGGCTTCTTGGTCTAATTGTTGATGACTCTGACTGATGATAACCCAGAGATTGTGGGTTCGATTCCCACTTAGGATAAATGATGTGGGATGAGCAAAAAATTGTTTTGTTCTGTCTGAGTGTAATTTATATAGTGTATGTATGTATGTAGTGTAATTTATATCTAGAAATTTTTAATGGGTTTGTAGGTAAGTGGTAATCGAGTAGGTTAACACAAAGTTGCAAAGTTAAGCAATCCCAGCCAGATTGGTCTATGGATAGGTTACCATTCTTAACACAAGAAGACTGTTCTTAATACTTCGTTAACCTATCGTTTCCGGTTGCCATACAAGCATCTGGCAATTGTTGCGGGTAGTTAGATACTTAAAAAGTCTGACAACAGTCTTTCTACAGAATTTCCATATCGTCTAGTGGGTTGTGGAGGTCTGATGTCAGTCGCTCCGCCTAAAATCGAAGTACAGCCGTATTATAGTAGACTTAAAGCTAACCCCAACTCAGTTTGGGAAAAGGGCTTGGAGGAAGAAAAGTATTCAGAATTTTTTAACTACTAGCTTTTGCCCGCGGCTCCTTCCGCTTGTAGGTCGCGGTAAAAAGTTGCCTATGTTACTCTCTGATAATGTAGCTTTCCATTGTTGAAAGAATTTTAGAAATCGGTATGATTACCATAGCATAGGCTCTGCCTAGTTTGGGATCAGACTGCCGTGTGTCAGATGCTTGAAGTTATTATTATTATTACTATGTAAAATTGAGAGGCTCTCAGTAATTGTTGGTTTATCAGCCTGCACATAGGGTAGATGAAGCTTTCATATATCAATGATCTAACGATAGCATAGATGATATAATGATAACGATAGAAAAGTATGTGGACTTATAAGAGTGCCACTTCTAACACGATATAGAGTACTCTGTGGCGTGACTAAGTTTTGACGAACAATGTATGAAATTAAAATGTATAATTTTCAGGGAGAAAAGCCTTTGCAATGTTCAGTGTGCGGTGAATCTTTTGCCCACTCTGCTGGGCTAGCTACACATAGGCGAAAACACACTGGCCAGACGCCATATCAATGTGTGTTGTGTCCACGATCTTTTCGAACCATAGGACATTTGCAGTACCACACAAGGTGATTTTTTAACTGTTGACAAATGTAATGTCTGACGGTCTTGAGTTGCAAGCCTTCATGCGCGGCGGTAGTCACTTTCTATCTGTCAAAACATCACAGTGCTGCCACTTTAATATGCGAAAAGAGGAATTTAAAAAAAGTGTAGCTTTAAAAAAGGTATTAGCAACTTTAATGCTGTAATTAAACTGTATTCTTTATTTCTCAATGTCCCACTCCTAGGGGGTTGTAGTTTTTCTGTAAATTTGAAAGATCAAACGGGAAATATATCCTCCAAAAAAAAAAGAAAGTACAGCCCAATTAAAACTTTTTTTTCAAATAGATTAAAAAGGGACTATGAATCAAGGTTTGGATGAATGATTTTGATGAATAGATTTCAAATTTACATTGCTTTTATTGAACAATTATTATGTTAAACCATTTAACCTCGAAAGACTTCTTATTCTAAAGTTAAGTTCCCTGATCAAGTCACCTCACACAAAAAAAACGGGTCACCCTTTTAGGAAGATATGAGATGTTAGCTGTTAAATATCACTAATATGGTTTCAGACGACATACGGGCGAGAAGAATTTTGAATGTGACACTTGCGGACGTGCATTTATAACTCGTAGCGATTTAAAGCAGCACCTACTAACTCACACTGGAGATCGACCGCATGTCTGTTGTATATGTGGTCTGAGATTAACGCGGGCTTCACACCTCAAGCGTCATATGCTGTCAACTCACGCTGGAAAAGCTTATGCTTGTCACAGTTGTCCAGCCAAGTTTAATAAAAAAAATGAATTAGAAAAACATGTGAAAAAGCATGGAGAGATGAAAGATGAATCTGATAGCAACTAAGCTTTAGTTTTAACGGTAAATGCCAAATTTTTTTTTTATAATATGTAAGTTATATATTATATTATCGAGACTAAAAGGGCGTGTATGCTACAATGTAATACTAGTATTTAATTTTTGTTTTTAATTCAGATGCTATTTTTAGTATCTAATGTGATATAAATGATATGACTAATAAATAATATTTTCTTTTATCGTGTTTTTTAGTTTTGCAACCGACGAATATTTGAGGAGGAAACACTGCGAAGAGTTCATTTTCTCAAAATACATTAGTCGTAAATTATAATATATGCACCTATAAATACAGAGAACTTCTGTTGTATTGTTAATTATGCTTATATAATTAACAATACAACAGAAGTTTTCTGTAGTAGGTAGAAGTAGGATTTACCAATTACCTTAGTTCTATACCTACAAGCCATATGCGTGTGCTTAATGTCCATAAACGTGTATTGTAATCCTCCGTACCAAATATCATTTAAACAGCTATAATAGAAGCTCTGAACGGATTTCCTACGAGTCACACAAGTTGAGAAAATTAAGGGCGAAAAATAGCAATTTCTTTCTAATGAATTTGACTTCAGTAACTCTCACTTCTTCGTTTTTTCTTACACTACAACCTCCTATTTTTTGTTTTAACATTAAAATTGTTTTTCCCTGTTAATAAACCGGTCTTTCCCACCTGTTTGATATTTTTTCAATAACTTGCCACCATGGACGTATTAAAAAGTCGGACAGTCTCGCTAACAAACAACTGTGGATTCATAGTCGGCCAGCTCAGCTGTATGTACAGGCCAGTACGCACACTTTCACACATTAGTCGGCCATTACGCTCGCGAACCACGCGTCATCGAGACACATTACGTGGCGAAAAAATATAAATATACATCATGTCTTGCGTGGTAAAATGGTGTAAAAACCGAACAATCTAGGAATTACGTTTCATAGGTAAATGAATAATTCAATAACTTATTTCTAGATTTTATACATTAAACTCAATTTGCATTCGCTAGAACAAAACAATTCATTTTAAGTTCAGTGTTGCCAATATTCACGTGTGCAAATTACCCGAAATATGGGCAATTGTTAGTTAATTATTAAAATCAATATATTAAGGTTAATTATTTAATAGTTACTACTGGGTATTTTATTTTATATTCCTATTGCTAGATTTTCTAAGGAAAATGAAGTATGGAGTAATGATTGGATTCAAATAATTAGAAATTATAATGTAATTAATTATAATTGTAAATGTAATCTTACATGTACCATCGAAAGAAATGTTCGATATTTGTTGTATTTGCGAAATGGTTATAAGAAAAATTATAAAAGAAACCATCACATTATACAACGAAAGGCAACATAAATATATTTTCACAAAAATTCTAGAAAAAATTGTTGGTAATGAAAGCGTTTTTTTTTTAAACTTAGAATCCGAACATAATTTCGCCGGAATAGAACACAAAATAAGTCTTATTAAATATATAGCAGAAAAATATTTAACGATTAGGTTTCACCACATCTCGAAATTAGAGGAAATTTCAAGAACCTCTCAAAGTAAAAGACATTATTATAAAAAAATTACTCAGCATTTGGGATGTTAAACATTACAATTTCGAACAATTTTTTTTTTTATATGTTGACCGTGTGTTTATGAGAAAATGAATTCGCACACAGAGTTGCTGCCATTATGGCGTTTCACTTATGTCTTAGCGAGAGTTCCGTCCGACTTTTTTTATACGTCCATGCTTGCCACGAATTGATTTTTACCAAAGTACTTTTTATTTATAATAATTATTTTACCTGAATTGTCCCGTTGAAATACAAGCCAGATTATTTTTTACATAATATGAACCTATTTTGCGTCCCACAGCCTCTACAGTCAAGAAATTCATGAAAAAAATTGAGGGCTCCACTGCCGTTATACCTGGTATCCCTGTATACTTCGACAAAAAGAATTTGATATCTTGATTTTATAAAACGATGTAATTGTTTTATGATACCTGAATCCCTGTACAGTCCTGTTTATGATTGCAAACATTTATCCATTATAAATGTCTTGAACAAGTTAATTAAAACTTGTTCAAGACATTCTAACCATCAAACTTGGGCGTTACAAAAGATTGCAATCTTAAACTACTACTCAATGCAACTTAGTAAAAAAAATTAAATTGCTAAGTCCTCGTTTGTTCAAGTATATTTATATGGGTGTATTGCGCATGCCTCTCTCTTAAAAACTAAATATACCGCCCTGGCTTAATGCCTTCTCATTTACTCTATCTCCCTGGGAAGGCCTAACAAAATCACATTATAAAGAGCTGAGATAGCCCTAAATGCTACTTTGAAAGAGTGACAAACAAAACACACAAACACAGGCAATGTGTATATGTCAGTTTTACTATGCTTTTAATAGTCAAGTAAAAACAAAAAATATCTACAAAGAGAAGGCAAACTTGAAACAAACCCTATATAGATAGTTCAACTCAGTTGTGCGCGCGGCCCTATGTGTGCGTAGGCTTGTAATTATAGAACTTTCATTCGTGTGGCAGTGACGCGGCAGTCGGACGACGACTTCGATTAACCACGATTGTTCTTTTCACAACAAATCAATTTATCAACGGACTGTAGGTATAAATATTTCAGGCGTATTTAAAAAATCGGAGCTATCTACAGAATAATTAACTTACATACCTATTTACACTATTTACACTTCTCTGTTTCGAAGCAACTGCTCAAAATGGAGTCCGCTGCATTCAATACAAAAACGTCCACGTTTAATGCAATTGTTTTTTAATTTTCTTAATGTGTCTCTATCACTTTTCACTTTATCAAAAGCGTCCACTATCGTAATACGTAAATTATCACGGCTTTCATATTCCCGTGTATAAACAAAACTTTTTATATCCAACCATAAGAAAAAATCCAGGGGCGTTAAGTCCGGGCTTCTAGGTGGCCAAGGCACTGGCCCTCCTCGACCTATCCACCGATCACTAAACTCATTGTCCAGGTATGCACGCACTACACTCCGGCGAATAATAATTTAAACGTCCTTGACCTTGCGCGTGAGTAGGCGCATGAAATTGTTCGTGGTCGAGGAGACGTTGGGTTGCAGCCAAGATGGTAGGTGTGGAGGGAATTTGAGGGCTTTCAATTCCACGTATCCGTAGTGCATTTAAATGCTCCGGCTGGGAATACAAACGCCGAGCCTCTTCCAAGTTGTAGTTGGCAGTAGCGTACAGCTGTACCATTGCCAGGAAGTATCCCACGTTTGAAAATTCGTACTGTCGACTGTTTTTAGCGCTAATCAATGTAGCGTGCCGTCACTATGTTTGGTATTACTGACCGGACTGAAAGCGAAGGACGCCTCACGATTACAGGTGAGTCCCGCGCATGCGCCTACGGGGCAGACGTCAGTGGTTTGACGACTCCGGCGCAACTCGGTAGCTTTGTTTTTATTGGCGAATACGATTTTATGTGACTCGATATTAAAACGCATAGTATTTCTATTCGTAGTATTTACCTACGTGTGATTGAATGCCCTACTACTGGTTCTCACATTTTCTCTGTAAACGATATGAATATCGACTTTGATGATAAAAAAAAAAAAAAATTATTAAATAAACGTTATATATAGCTTCTGTTACTGATAAATAATTCAAAATGTTCTTTTCCAAAACGCTTTCAAAATCACCGTGTATAATTTGTATTAATTCCCTATAGTAAATACAAAATGGATCAAGAATGTTTGGGTTGAAGTATAATTCGTAGTTCGTAAAAAAAAACTCAAGGAAACCAAAAATATATGAAATGTTTAAACAAAACAACGAAGTGACAGCTGAGCAACTTAGTTTAGTTTTTTTTTTTTAATTATTTTTAATCATGACCATAGATACAAGTCTTTCAGTCGAAAACATAGATGGGAACTTAGTTTAGCAGTCATTGAGTGTTGCCAATTGCTGCCAAGGTTGTAGTTCCACAAGCAATTATTTTAAGACTATACTAATAATGTTTTTGTAATGTATATAAACCCCTCGTATATAAGTCACGTAAAAGGACTTATATTCGCATTAACTTAAACTTACAATTTAGCACTCTATAAAGAAAATAGAAAAAAAGAATTTCAAGTGAAAAGCTTCAAAATAGTCGTAACACACCGATTTATGATGAAAAATTTAAATGTTCATAAGAGCGAAAAGAGAAAAGTTGAATGACTAGGCTAGTTAATAGCTTGCTACTTGAAAGTTATCAGTTGCTTAGGATAAGATTAGTAATTTGAAAATAATTGGATACAGCTTAATTAAAAGAATACCTACCGAAATCTGTTCACAGCCAATTTCATTTTTTGACATTCACTTCACCATTAATATAGACCAGAATACCATTCCATCGATTTAGAATAGACGGTTTTTGGTATGTATTTTTCATTTTGGTATCACTGAACATTCGAAATTTGAAATTCGTTAACGTTTTTGTGTTAAGTTTGATACAGTGTAATTTTACTTTGTGATTAAACTGATTAACGAATTTGATTACAGTCCTTGTGTTTCCGAAAGCGCTGTATAATAAGAATTAGCAACACATTTCTGAGCAGTATCGATATAAGCAGAAAGTTTATATCTATACTTTAACGGGGACTGGAAGTTTTTGGTTGTCATCATGTCTAGCAGAGACATTTATTATTCCGAGAAATACTATGACGAGGAACATGAATACAGGTAAAAATTTGAATTCAAACTGGAAACGTAAACCGATTCCAATGTTCTCAATACAGTAGTTAATTTTATAACCTATTTGAAATGTGTAACATATGGGTTAATTCCTTGTCCAGAATTCTAGAAATTCTTCTATATTATTAGTTACCAGATAGACTGTAGTCAGCTACAGTGTAATTTTAAGTTGGTTGTTATAACTTTTAACGATTGTAATAGGAATCTTTTTAATTACTTGGACTTAATTTTGTTTACTTTATGTTTGGTTCCCTGGCCTTGTTTCCTTAGCATATCTCTCGCTCTGTCTCTTATATCTGGGTTGTTGATCAATGAAGATCCTATGATTAATCCTGCTCCATCATGATTAATAAAATCTGTTATTTACTGAATAAACTACCTAGGTACTTGTTAATGGCAAAGAGCTGTAGTAAAGTTGCCACATTTGGCAGTAAATTATATTTTCAATTTTCGTTCGAATAACGGAGACTATTTGAGCCAGTGGTTGTTGAATTTGGTCAAAATGTGGAAACTTGTCCAAAAACAAACTATGTACTTTTATCTATTATTCTTTTACTTTCTATGTTATGTTTGATATCAAAAGATGTTACATGAATAATTTTCAGGCATGTGGTGTTACCCAAGGAGATGGTGAAGCTGGTACCCAAAAACCATTTGATGTCGGAGCAGGAGTGGCGAGGCATTGGAGTGCAACAGAGCCAGGGCTGGGTGCACTACATGACACACCAACCTGGTATGGCTTTCTTAGTTAAAATTAGTTAACCTACTTTAAATTACATCTATTCATATGCATTTTCATTAAGGTATTTGTCTTCTTAATTCACTGTGTTAATGGTAGTATCAATATTCTTATTAACATTATAAAAGTAAAAGGTAAAAAATGAAACTTATTTTTGTTGTGCAATCTGTTTAGTAATATTCGTACACACTTCAAGGCAAATTTACACTTAAAAACAATAAATACACCTGTAATAAAAACTTACTAACATAATTATCCATTCAACATACAGCTTATAAACTATAATATTTTAGATATTAGCTGCACCCCACTGCGGTTGTTTATATTAAATTTATATAAGTTGCCATTACTTTGCCATTGTAATTATATGGCAACAATTGGACATCCACCTTTACCTTTCCGTGTTAACCACCGCAGCAAGAATACACAGGATGTAGGTGTCCATTGACAGCGGTGGTTACTTATCATCAGATGACACATCTGTTTATTTGCCCGTTATTATATAACACAATGAAAAATAACACCTTGTGACTCCTCACGAGCCTCGACATGATGTTATGATGGTTTCCAATGAATTTGTTGTAGAATAATGAAATATTTTTTTGTGACAATTATTTTCTTCTCTGTTGTGTTCTATACTAAGAATTTATTGCTGTTTTTTTGTTTTAATTTTGAAATCTTTATGGGCCACTAAACCAAAGCCGAGTTACTTAATTATTACAATTATCTATTAAAATAATATTTTATTTACCAATTCTATTTTTATAAAAAATATATTGTAATTAACAGTAATAATAATGTAACATTTTACCACATTCATACAACGCCGTCTAGTCCCAAACTAAGCAGATTGCTTGTACTATTTATATATCATCTAGTCTCTCTCATCTAGACAATTAATATATAAATAGTTATAATATAAGTTCATATTATATACAGATACACCCAGACCAAATCAAACATTAAATGTCAAGCACACAAATGTTTGGTTTGGGCGGGAATAGAACCCTCGACCTTAGGCGTAGCAGTCCACTACACAAACCACTATGCCATCAGGCTGTCAGTCCTACGTTCTAAATTTTTATATAATATTTTTTTTATAATGTATGTAACTCAAAGATGAATTTCGAATTTTCCAGAGCCTCACATCCTACTATTTAGGCGAAAGATGACAACCCCACCAGAAAAAAAGTAAACAAGGACTAATATGAGGTGTAAATGTATAGTTTTTAATTAATATTAGGGTTAGTTTAGCTATAATTCTGCCCATAATAATATATAACTATTAACAATCTCACCCACTACCAGCATTTTTGCTTCTGTCCAAAGATAGCTCGAAAATTTAAAGAAAAAAGATTTAAAAGTTATCCCTTACTTAAGGACTCACCTGTACTTTTTAAAGGTTATGTGTTTTTTGTAACTATGTATTCTTGTTATAAAAATTATATAGTTCATAGTTTTTTTAATTAGTAGGTTTTTATTTATTATATTAGGAATCAAAATCAAGCAAAACTTACTAGTTTCTAAATATATTTTTTAATTTTCAAAGTTATCTCATCTAGTGAGTGCAAGGTCGTCAAAACCGCAAAAGGTTAAAACAGCCTAAAGACTAATAAATAAAAGTAAAAATAAACCATTAAGTGTGCCCTCTTCGTCATGTCTATGTACCAAGATACTGCTTGAATTCCAAATTTAAAATTACTGTCCAGGCTTCTAGGTATTTGCCATACTTTATTATCTACCCTGATGTGAATTTAATATAGCAAAATAAAATTTAGTCATTTATCATAATCTCAAAATGCCAAACTATATGTATAAATTGAAATGTTATAATGATTACATATTTTAAACTTGTTTCATAGGTAATAGAATTACCAAGTCATCATTAAGAATCATTTATATCAAGGTACATAGTAAAGGAAAAAAAATTTTTTTTGTGTCTGTGTTTGAAGACCTTTAGAGCAAAAAAATTTTGTCTATCATATTTATTATTATCTCTTTGGAATATTAATGTAATTTTAAGGTTTTAATGCTGTTCTATCGGCCATTAACTTGCAGTTCTTACACTTTTACGTTCTTGACATTTTACGTTTTTGTCGATCCTTTAACAAAAAATACGATTATTTAATGTGGTTGTAAATTTAAAAAATACTATTCAAATATTAGTCAATTATTTCTGGCTCTGTCATAGTAGTTGGATAAATAACTGCCAACTGAAAATGTTTATCAAAACTGGTTTAGTATTTTACTGTATTCTTTAAACATCAAACTAACTTTTAGGGTTTAATTATGATACTATTTGTTACAAGTAGCTTTATTTGTTTAAATCCATTCACATATACAGTTTTACTAAATCAATTTTGATAAAACTTACACCAGCTTTTAAGTTAAAACACTTAACAACTAAGAGTATATGTCTGCAGTCAGCAGATTTCTTTTAATTGCTTATGCATTCATATCATATTCATATTATCTTTGGACAGACAGAGGTTCATATCTCAAAGAAATCGTTCTTTGGCAATTGACATTGTATCATAAGTATTTTAATAATAATATTATATATGGGCCTAAATGATCTTCATTCCATAATGTTTAAGTTTTCATTGAAGAAGCATCAATCTAGAACATTTAAATGAAAATAATTGTAACTAAAATTTCAGTGTTGGTTAATATGCTAACAGGTATAATATAAAATAATGCTAGTTCTAGATTTATGTTACCTTTTATTTTTAGTCATTAAATGTTTAAGATATACTTACCTATGGTTGTCATGACAATTTTAATAGAGCACCATTGTTTTAAGGCAAGCCTTAAATATTCAAAATATCTTTTTAAGCAAGATGGATTAACATTTCGGTGTAAATAACAGCCTAATTTCATTACCACATCATTAAACAAATGTTTTGATACTTGTACACATAAATAATATATCATAGTACTCACATAGTGCCTTTTAGTACCTAGAATTTATGAAAAAAAACATTGTGATAAAACCTTTGTAACTTAAAATGTATGTAAAATATAGAAATGAAATATGGTCAAGATTATTTTGACTTTTAAGAGGTTGACTAGTAATCATTAGTATATAATTCTGGCAATCATATATGATTCTGATTGTTGTAAATACAGTGATGTTATCGGCTTCTGGCAGCACTTATTGTTTATCACAGTAATTGAAATAAATTATTTGGTGCTATGTTATATAGTGTTTTTTTATATAGTTTTAATTATCACCTAACTAGAAACCATGTGCAAAGATAAATAAATACTGTTAATTGGTCCCCTATTCAATTCTTCACCAATCGCAATCATGAACGCGGTCGCCTACGAGAGCGAGTTTAGTACGAGATTACGTACTACGGCCTTCTTTTTTTTTTTTTTTTTTCCGTGCGGAAATCCCCTCGGATACCACCGGATGTCGGTGGAATGTCGGACTCGAACCGACTAAAACCGCACGCCGTCTCGGGTACTAATAGCCGGGGAACCAGGTATACCCTAGAAAGGAAGTCCCTGGTACCCCGACATACCTCGGGTCATCTACAGCGCTGTTTCCTCATGGACCAACTATGTATGCACAACTAGTTGTGTCATAAGGATTTTTGTTTTAAAATCATTCCTATTGGCACAACTAAATAATTTTCAATTAATATTAGTTCCTAGAGACACAACTAATTATAATCGGTGTACAAAAATTCATCGTTATGGTTATCGTAAGCATTTAATATGGGATATTTTTTAAATAATTACTGATAGTAAATGACATGAAATGGTATTTATAATTTTCTATTTGTTAATTTAATAATATTAATGTAATAATATTATTTATTTCCTCTTGTAGTTGTGCTAAAAGGAATGGTTTTAGTAAATCAGTTGTGCTTAGTTGTGCATAGTTGTGTCATTAAGAACATATTCTGGGATGGCACAACTAGTTGTGCGTACATAGTTGGTCCATGAGGAAAACGGGATCCTGAAACTATGTTATATGGTTTTCCTGTGTTTTGATACACTGGTAGATATTTGGTAACCTATATGCTTCTCACCTCCAGTGAGCAAAATAACCTTTTTCTTAACGTATGGAAACACTGGTATCCCCCCTCAGGCCTTCGCCCCACCGAGGTTTGCGGCGGGGTGGTGTGTCGGAATAAGACCGACTAAAACCACACAGTGTACCACTCTGCACCTGAACTAAGAGTAATGCGGGAACTGCTGTTATTAAGACATCCGGACCACTCATAGCGCTTGCCCGCAAAACGCGGGCACCACCTTCGGGTAAATTCTCCATTTAAGCGACGTACGGTACACGCGAAGAATTGGGTCCGAATGGCTCCCGGGCACTTTCCGTCGCCTCTTTCTGTCAAATGAAGTCTTCACAGATGGATGCGACCGCGTTAAGACATCTGTCGCTACCGGCTATGGAGCGTATGACGACCGGCAACGAGGGGTCCCCTCCGATCAATGCAATCAGGGACCCGACGCCCTAGCCTGGCAAATTGCTAGCGTGTGCTGAGCCGAGTCTTCACTGCAATCGCAGTGGTGACAGGCGGAACTGAATTCCCTCCTAGCGACCGAGTGCAGGTACTTCCCGAAGCGGACGTGCCTAAGGGTCCTATGCTAACGCCCTGCCCACTCGACGATAACCGACTGGAGACGATTGCCACTATCCGTCCGGAACTTAGCCGTCCGCTGATATACTTCGGCGAGCACTTCCGCCTACGAATCCCACGTCCCACCACACAAACCCACCTCCGTCGACATGGTGCGGTAACCGCGTATGGCTCCCACCGCCAGTGCCCTCTGAGGACGCCAAAGGCTTGCCCTATTCTGGACATCAGCATCACCTGTCTAATCTCTTCTTGTGCACTACCAATGGCTAGCTTCAGAGTTTTCCGCGCCTCTCGGTAGTCTTCATGAAGTAGGTTCTCCTCACTGTCTCCACGGTGACGCCGTCGACTGCAGCTGTGGGACCTCCGGGCACGAATACAGGGCCTCAAAACTGCTATTTTATGTTATCGCCAAGCTACAGTCATTCGCTATTGAGATGCCACTGACATCGGTCAAAATATCGGTATTCTTCTAACATAAATTCACAATGTCAATAGACTGTTGATATAGTAAAATCAACATCAATGGTGAAATCAACAACATTGGAATATTATGAAAATTAAATATATCATTTTCCTACAAATTTAAAATGTACCGTTTACCAAACTATTACAAAGACATCGACGACATTTGTATCAGTAACAAACAAGTCATCGGCCATTGGTCTTACATAGTTAGTGACAGAGTTACAATAACAATAGTGCAAAAGTATTCCGACGAAATTCCATCGACATTATTGATACAATATTAAAACAGCAACTCTTGGAGCCACCAGTAGACCTCCTTCTTTGGAGGCCGATGACCTCGGACTCGGGGAATGGCCGCATCGCATCACGAAAGCGACCAGCCCCCATGTCTACCTCCTCGGTCCTCCATGGCTGCCTCCAGGTCACTGTTAGCGTGTGTGTAAAATAACTTGATTTGACCAAGGTTTAATAACCTTTACCTTTTTGACGATAATATGGGTAATACCATCCTAAACAATGTTCATTTTTCCCATGATCAAGCCATGAGAGCCTGGATGTAAGTAAGGAAGCAGCTTCCCGATTCAGTAACACCTGTTTTCAGAATGAGTGATTGCAATTCGAATAGTTTAACTTTGGCATTCACTATGATCAGTCAAATAAAAACGTCCTTTTAGTGAACATTTTGAAATCGCCTATGGTTCAGTTGAGTGCCTAGAGTTGTTAAGTAAGGTAGGCATAGTAACACATCTATAAATGTAAAACAACCGATTTAAAACGTTTGAAGTGAAATGTTGCCGTTTTAAAGCCTAAATAAATCGTTTTTAACGGTTGAAAACTCGCCGGTACCCCGTCATATACCTAAAAAAAAAAGAAAAATCAAGAAACAGTAGAAAAACAACCAACCGTTTTAAATCGAAAAAAAATGGTTAATTTCGATTTGAAACGGATTGGTTTATATCTATAAACACATCCCACAATTCTGAGCAATCCTAGTCTTCTGTATGTTCGTTGCGTAAAGATTACATATAGTCATAATTAATTTTTAATATTTAAGAATCGAAAACATAATGAAACCATGAATGATGGAATCGATTTGAAAACGCTTACAAAACCTACGTTTTCATTTGACAGATCATAGTGAACTCCAATATAATATTGTACCACATTCACACAACGCCATCTAGTCCCAAACTAAGCAGAGCTTGTACTATGGGTACTAGACAACTGATATAAATACATTTATACTATTTTTTTTGTAAATACATACATATTATACATAGCACACAAATGTTTGACTTGAGTGGGAACCCGCGACCTTTGGATTGGCAGTCCGTTACACAAACCACTACGCCATCCGGTCGTCAATGGATGCGGACTGCCTTAGATCGCGATGGTTGGCGCTCCTTTGGGGAGGCGTTCGTTCAGCAGTGGACGGCAATAGATACACTTTCACAAGCCAATGTCAAAAAAAAAGTGTGAAGTAAAAACCGAAATGTTAAAATATTTAGTTATTTATTTTTAATTTCAACATTTTACATTTAACTCATGAAATCACGCACAGATAATGCACACTTTAAACTTATATCTAATACTCGATCTCATTAATGTAATAAATATATCATTCACACATATTTGAGGTACAGTCTATCACAAGTTATGAAATTCAAAAATATAGGTTTATTTACCTAAAAAAATTAGAAAATGAAATACTGCCCCTAATTTGACCTAAACAACAAAGGTACTTGATATATTTGTGATAACAACAAGAAAAGAAAATGAAGTAACTTTCATTTTCTTTTCTTTTTAGTATTTGTACTAGTGCTCGGTGACATTAGAGGTAGTTTAGCAGTTGTTTCTGGCTGTGCAAACTCCATAGGTTCCATTTTAATATCTTCAGTTGAAACAGCATCCAACAGTTCTAAGCCTTGGAGTTGTTCCTGTTCTAAACTGTGCAGCATCTGAAACCCAGGCTCCAAAGATGGAGTAAATGCACCATCCAGTGCAGCTGGAAAGTGTAACTCTGGAACTTCTTCCAATTTTAGTTGTGGTGCAATATCTCTTACTGCAAATGCTTCACATCGGGCTCTTAAGTCTTCACATCTTTGTTTAGTCTTAGCATGGTACTTCACAACACGATTTTCATAAAACTCATGCAAGTTACCAACATTCAAATCCGTAAGTACTTTTGAAATTATGTCTGGGAAACCTGATTTCAACCCGCTAGCTTCTTTATCTGTCACTGTTCTCATTAATTTACAAAAGTTGGTCATATACACATCAAGAGCATCAGTTAGAGCATTAAGTGCTGAATTTGTGCATGTTGGAATGCCAACATGGCCAATGGCTATCGCTGCACATTGTCGCATGGCTCGTTTATGGCTTTCAGGTGTAAAAGGCAGCACAAATGGGCCTCTGCCAAGTGAAAAATTGCAATAAAATTTCTCAAGAAAATTTATGGGTGCATTCGGCTCATGTTCTATATCCATAATCGGTTCCGGAGGAGGCATCGGCAGGCTCATTGGATCTAAACGGGCCCCTTCATATACAACACTTTCTGTTTGTTCCAGTATAGCTGATAACTGTCTCGAGTAAGCGTGAAGTTGTATTGTGTGAGTGATCAAGTTTGGCTTCGGTAAGTCAACTGGTGCCGATTTGACAGTGATAGATATTTCAGGAATGTTCTGCATGCCTAGTTCTATGATAGGATTGAAATTCACATTTTGTAATAATGTCTCATCATATTCTTCGTCTTCCATCTCGCCCCAAAGTTTGCGTGAGCTCATTTTAGCGGTAACAAATAATAAACAATAACAAAATTTCCAACACAGATTTTTTTTATAATGTTCGTTAGTATTTAATGTATATTAAAGACAAACTATAAATTATTGTTGTGACAGATACTTGGCAGCTTGGCTGCGGATTTGGTAGTGTCATGTCATTAGAGTTGTGTAGCTCCCGTAGCTCCTAACCTGAGTGAGTGATATAAAAGATATATATAATTCACTCCGATAAAATGTTTTACTCACTCATACTAGCTCCGAATATATCAATCACGAATACTCATTACTTACAATAGCTAACTCACTAGCTCATAGGGATGGGACAAAATCACATTCAACTGTGATTCAACCGGTGATTTATCATTCGATTGTTTCGTACATCGGTTAGGGTTACTACTTACTCCCGCGTTGTTGCCAAAAAGCTGTTTTCAGACGATCCATAAAAACCCCTGTTTCACCTATTTAACAGTATATCTAGTAATTATTTTATTATATATAGCTACCATTCCATACATAATTTAAAAAAAAAAAACTATATTTACCCTAACCTACGTACGCAAAAATCGAATGATAAATCACAGTTCACTGTGATTTATCATCTACTAACTCACACTTCTCCACTTAACGACGCCGATCTTTGTTGCGAGTGAGACTAAAGATAAATGAGTGAGTTAGATGATGGTTGAGTTCACGCTAAGTTTCTTTATGCAAGATGTACGTTATTTCTATAGTTTCAAAGATCTAGAGTAGTAGTATTAGTACCTACTTATTTTAATTAATTCGTCTTAAAATAATGAATTGTTTTTATCTGCATTATCATCGTCGGTTTCAGATTAATACGATTCTTTTTGGTACCGATTTGTTTGAGAATGTTTATTGTTTTTTCAAAAAAGTTGCAACATTTTTTTTCCAACCTCAACCCACAGCGTTTTCTGAACATAGCAGATAAAAATATTAACTTTATTTTATTCCTCTCTCCTTTTTATTACATGCGCTATGCTAAATAATCTCTAAAAATGGCACTGAAATGAGGCAGCATTAAGAGAGTAATAGCAATAGTTGCTAATACCTCAAAAACTTCGAATTCCTTTGGGCATCTTTGAAATATTTCCAGTATGTGAAAGTTTCTTAACACGTTTAGTACGAGATCCCGCTGCAGGATTGGTGCGTTCATCGATTTTTTGTTTAAAACCAAATTTTTATGTTTATTTATAATTAGAAGAATATACATTTACTAGGGTGCCTATCAAAATTTGGCCGCATTATTTTTAATTAAATTATTTTTAACTGATTTTTGGTTAAAAATTTCGTTTATTTATTTTTTAAATAAAATAACGTCTACATCACGGTAATTAATATGAAGATTCTAAAAAATCACGGTTGCCGTTGCGCACCTGGCCGCACCTCTTTGCAGCCTGGTGTAAACAGGTATGATTTCGATAAATTTATACGTTTATAACGTATATTTATTAATTATATGTCAAATTGAAGCTAATTTTTTTCTATTAATTATCATATATGGTTGCTTAATTAAATCTGGCCGCAAATAAGGGTTACTGGCTGTTAAAGATGATAAATATTTAAGGTAGAGTGAAAGAGAGTTAGCGCGTAACGTCATTTGTCAGACAAGGACAGCGGTTGCCGGCTGTGCGACGCTTTTAAGCCATTGCGCATGCGTAGAATGTTAGTGTTCTCAACCACCGGGGAGTAATAGAGAGGACTTATAATATTTATCATCTTTAACAGCCAGTAACCCTTATTTGCGGCCAGATTTAATTAAGCAACCTTATATGAAAATTAATAGAAAGAAATTAGTTTCAATTTGACATATAATTGATAAATATACGTTATAAACGTATAAATTTACTGGCTGTTAAAGATGATAAATATTATAAGTCCTCTCTATTACTCCCCGGTGGTTGAGAACACTAACATTCTACGCATGCGCAATGGCTTAAAAGCGTCGCACAGCCGGCAACCGCTGTCCTTGTCTGACAAATGACGTTACGCGCTAACTCTCTTTCACTCTACCTTAAATATTTATCATCTTTAACAGCCAGTAACCCTTATTTGCGGCCAGATTTAATTAAGCAACCATATATGATAATTAATAGAAAAAAATTAGCTTCAATTTGACATATAATTAATAAATATACGTTATAAACGTATAAATTTATCGAAATCATACCTGTTTACACCAGGCTGCAAAGAGGTGCGGCCAGGTGCGCAACGGCAACCGTGATTTTTTAGAATCTTCATATTAATTACCGTGATGTAGACGTTATTTTATTTAAAAAATAAATAAACGAAATTTTTAACCAAAAATCAGTTAAAAATAATTTAATTAAAAATAATGCGGCCAAATTTTGATAGGCACCCTAGTAAATGTATATTCTTCTAATTATAAATAAACATAAAAATTTGGTTTTAAACAAAAAATCGATGAACGCACCAATCCTGCAGCGGGATCTCGTACTAGTTGGACAACAACGTACCGAGTTTTGAACGATCCTTGGTTTGAATGATATCAATCTTCATTTCTCTTCTGCTACTAAACCCGATTATCAAACCAAGAGTTGGACCCTGAAGTATTTCGCTAGTCTGCCCAGACCTAATATCGTCAACTTCGCAATTTCTGCTGTTACTTCTGGGGACATCAAAAAGATCATCGTGTCTATCCGTTCTAGTGAAATGGGTTGTGATTAACTTAGTCGTAGGATGATAGTTACCATCCTGAATTACGTTCTCGAAGTCATAGACCACATAATTGACTTCTTTCTCGACCCCGGAAATGTCCTCTCTCTCTCTCTCGTCTGCATAAAATTAATAATCCTTCTCTTCCAGAGCTCTGCCGTGTAAAATCCATCCTTAATTTCCTATTAACGGTTCTTGATGTTTAATATCATTGAATATGCTATCATTTATTTACAGTACTGCTATTTTTAATACACTTCAAAACAAATCGAATTAAATTGAAACTTCGCACACTTATCAAGAACAGATGACAATACAATATTTTCATAAATTTGACCGATCATCTTGATCAAGATCTTCAGGATTAACGGCTTTTCCATACCTAAAAATACGGTAGTGTCTTTTGCTACGTACTAAGAGGCGTGTGCTGAAGCATATGTGACTAACTTACATGTTACTTTTTACTAGTATGAATGTGAAAATAATCATCATTAATGAATAAAAAGCAATAATAAATTACAGTTAAAAAAAGGTCCCATTCAAGATATTTTATAATAAAATTACTTTTACCAATATCTCTTAATAAAATATTTCTACAACAATTGAGATCTTGCACCCCACGTATTTTTACGATGATTTTAAAATGATTTTAAAATGATTTTACTTTTTGAAGTATAATTATTTTCTACTTTTGTGTTCGGCTAGTTACAAAAGCGTGTTTTTTAGCTTTTTCAAACTAAAATATGTTTTAAATATTAAATAAATTTTAGAATTTGATTTTTGGCGATCCTTTACACTTCACATTTATGGACAGATTAAGGATACAGAGTGTCACCACTCCTATTCACCCCGTGGTTGTCGTAAGAGTCGACCAGAGTGCAAATTACGCACGACAGCAGCACTGCAAAGAGAAGGAAAACTTAAAACAAACACTATACAAACTCGTTTGGCCAGCGTGGTATAATAGGCTAAAACCTCCTTTTTAAGGAGGTATGTCCAGCAGTGGATTATTTAGAGCTGTTGATAAGATTATGATCACGACGTGTGTGCATTTTGTTAAATGTTATCGTAAGTCAGCACTTTCGCTGAATATTCTTAAACAAACATGATACACTTATATATTACATTATTTACAGTTATTTCCATTTCCACATCTTTTTTTTGATACGTCAACAATTACATATTAGTTAAAAAAATATGCTATTTGATAAAATTTGTGGATGCTACATCATATCAAAAAAATGTGACTCATTCATTATACCTCGCTTTCACAATGACAGCAATTAACTTAAACAATGATGTTGTTTCAAGATTCCTTCTAGTAGCAAAAAAGAAATCGTTTGTTTGCCACATTATGACGAGGGTCTTGATTTTCGTGATCAGGCTTTATGTTCATAATTTGACACTGTGTACTAGATTGCAAAAAAATTGTCAATGAGTTTTACAGACAATAAATTAACGTGTAATAACTTTCAGACAATAAAAGTATTATAATGTTTTAACTCAGCACCCTTCACTCCGACTACAACAGCTATCTTCATATCGTAGTTTTTCCTACGCCAACGACCTCTATTTTAAGAATATAGCAGGACACTTTTTCAACTTTCCTCCCGTAAGAGATGGTTCTCCTTGCCTCTCCTTGGTCCTAGCACGTCATAGTAATGCAGGTACAAATTACGTAAAAAATCCTTCTTAGTCCGGTTTTTCGATTTCTACAATGCAAACCTTCCAAAACCTAACTTTGTTAGATTAAGAGTACAACGACATAAGAGTCGTTTATATTTCATGATTATATTGCTTTAATGTGATACTTTTCATTACTTTTGTTTTGCCTTTTTCTAGCATTTTGGGCTTGCAGACGATTCGGACACCAAATATACAGACACTTGCCAGAATTGACACTTCATAATTTCAAATAATTTTTACTGACAATTTGAACACCACCCAAAAAAAAACTGTTTTTATAGGCATGTAATAAAACATAGTTTGCTTTGACAAATACCATGATACCTTACTTTCAGAAATCTGTCTAGATGTGCCGTTAAGTGGTGCGTTTTAAATATGGGTATACCACAAATATGCTGCAAATTTGGCATTCTCTGATAAACAAATAATATATATAAATTGTACAAAATAAGTAACCTATAATAATCACAGAATTTTCACAGCATTTGGTAAAATATTCAAAAATACACATCGAATTAATTTCTTAATTATCTTAAAAAGTAACTAACAAAAACAGAAAACTGAACATCGACGAACAACCTGGAAATTAGCTAGAACAATTATTATTTGACAAAATACCAATTAACAATTAAATTTGACGAAATACTACAATTCAGGAAACTCTTCATGAATGGGCTCTGACATTGAATATAATTAAAATATGTCGGATGTATTAATTATGGTGGTTAAGGTCGACCATAATTAGTGTTCATTATACTTAATGCGGCTGTATTTTATAAACATATTTAGAACAAGGTTATTATATAATAAACGAGGAATTTAGAACTTTTGTTAGAAATACGATATCAACGCACAACCAATTTATGGAAGAAATTGTGGCCTGTGGTATTTCCGGATCGATACGACCTTCATACCTCAAGAAAAGAAAGGGCATGGAAGACACCAAAGTCACAGTATTTGTATTAGCTGTTGTATTCGCAGGCAAGGGTAGAGGACCTAACGCAGGCTAGAGACGAAGTAAACCGGGACCTAGAGGTCATAAAATCCTGGTCGATGAGATTTGGACTGTCGATTAACTCAACCAAATGTCAGGCAATCGTAGTAGGCAGCAAACGTTTAATGAACAGATTAGATACTACCTCTATTTTACCGTCTTCAATGGTTCAGTTATTCCATTCAGCCCTGCAGTTGAAGACTAAGGCTTACTCATCGACTCAACTAAGTTACTAGCGTGAGCTAGAAAGTAACTTGAAACCTGCCAATATCATATCGTCTAAAGAATTTCCTGCCTCCTAAAACTACAACCACACTCCTTAATAATTCCAATAATTGACTATGGTGATGTCTGTTATTTAAACCTGAATGCAGACCTTGTTAATAAGCTAGACCGTCTTCTCAATAATTGTATTCGATACATTTTCAATCTTCGGAAGTATGTGTAGTAGACACATGGTCATACTTCCGAAGATGGAAAATGTTGCGTTGAACTGGTTACCTATTCGATTGCGCCGCAATCAGCGTGCACTTACCTGTCTATTATCACTTTTAAACTTACCGACCACACCTACTTACTGGAATGCGCTCCCGCTCGAAATCATCATGTTCACCGTTTTGTATTAAAAAACTAGATGCATGATCTCCTTCTTAATAAAATTGCAGAGCTACCCAATACATAGTACACCTTATATTCCGGTAAACATAGTATACAAATATAACATATATATTTATAAATATATTTATATATGTATATTTATGATGTGATGTGTCGTATATGTGTACATATGTATGTATACATTTATGTATGTAGTGAACTGTATACATTTTCATTCATTACATGTCATAATATGTTACCTTTGTGCACCTTTTATTTTGTTTTTTTTTTTTTACGCGGAGAATGCTTTTCGCACCATACCCTCCGTTGGGGAAACGTAGGGCGTGTGTGGGACTCCCGGAGAACCGGTCTACCCACTAAACTACCTCGGCAGTCGGGAGGAGCTCCAGGAACGCATCGGCGACTTCTGGAGTCCTCCCTGCCGTACCTCATGTCTGAGGCACATCCCGGAGTGATCGTAGTCACCCTGGAGCTCGACACTGTTCTACAGAGTAAAAGGCGCAACAGCATCCCGCCTTAGACGACACGCACCGGAGTGTCATCTGTCTCGGGTCGTTTACAGTGGTCACATCGTCCCAAGATGTGGCCGCAGCGACCCTTAGGCAGCGATTGGGGAGTTAGCGACCTCTGCCACGTCCCCTTCGCCGCCTCGTTCGAGCGGGATCGCCCCTCTCCCGATCCCGCTCTGCGGCCTCCTTTTGGAGCATAACGTCCTCGCAGAAGGAGACCGCGGCTGCCCATCGATTAATGCTGGCGGTGACAAGTTTCGTCCGATCTGACCGACCAAGACTCAACGTTCGGACTCCCATGCAGGGCAGTCCTCCAGCGTGTGCTGGGCGGAGTCTCGGTCGAACCCGCAATGGTGGCATTGTGCCGTGGCCTCCCGTCCAATTCGATTCAGATACTCATCGAAGCAACCGTGCCCGGTAAGCATCTGAGTCAATCGGTAGGTAACACAGTCGTTCCTTCCTACCCACGCTTTGCAAACGAGATGGTACGATAACCCCGTACGACCCGTATGGCCATCAACCGCTGTGGCCGCCATGTCCTTAGACCAGACGGGCGCCCCATAGAGGACCATGGATCGCACGACCCCCATATAGAGACGGCTAACTTCTTCCCGTGGTCCCCCGAGATTGGGCAGCAGGCGATGCAGTGCACCCGCTACCCCGCGCACTCGGGGGAAACCTTTGTGCACCTACCATATATGATTTCTACACCACCCAAAAGGTTGACTGGAAGAGAATGCCTTGGGCATTAATTCCGCTAATGTACAAAAGTGCATAAAGTTTGAATTAAATAAATTAAAGAGCGTCCCTCCTTTGTTTGTGACCCGCCAGTTGCAGGCGTTTCTCGGCGGCGGTAGTCACTTTCCATCAGGTGACCCGTCTGCTCGTCTGCTCTGTCTTAGATAAAAACAAAATAAAAACACACACAAAGAGTCATTTATGTAAAAGTCACTGTAAATAATTTTATACTCAGCCGTACAAAGTTCAAGACAAGTTGTAATAACTTCTGAGAAGTTATTTGGTTTTTAACTTGGACCAATCTTTTATTTCAACGCGCTTGTTACTCCTGAGTTGCAGGCGTTCGCTGGCTTCATTTTCCATCGGGTGTCAAAAACCAAAGCTAGACGAGATAATCGTTTTGTGACAATAAGGATCTCAATCCATTGCTCGTGATTCTCAATTTTCTCTTTTTTGTCTGTCGTATGCATGCCTGATGGGGTAAATACGTTTCTGCGTATTGAATTCCCACATTTTTGTGTGTCGTCTATGAAATACAGACTTATGGGGTGGATAACTGTTAAGGTCTTTTTATAAAAGTCAAAAAGATAGAGCGGTTTGTGTATGTAGGAAATACTATGGCGTGACGTTATACCTAGCTATTACCAAATCTATACTAATATTATAAAGCTGAAGAGTTTGTTTGTTCATTTGTTTGTTTCTTTGTTTGTTTCTTTGTTTGTTTGAACGCGCTAATCTCAGGAACTACTGGTCCGATTTGAAAAAATCTTTCAGTGTTAGATAGCCCATTTATCGAGGAAGGCTATAGGCTATATATCATCACGCTAAGACCAATAGGAGCGGAGCACCAATGAAGAATGTTTCAAAAACGGAGAAAATTTATTACTAATGAGAGACGCAGACGAAGTTGCGCGGGTCAGCTAGTCATTTATATTTAATGTTGGTTTGAAGATATCAAAATCAACAAAAATGTTTAATTGATAATGGAGAACAATTGAGGCTGTACTTTAAGGTGTTACATTTAATGATTTAGACGAAATATTTTTTTTTAAATCTAAGAATATTTGTTACAAAATATTTTAACTCTTATGCCATTACTAGCATCTGTAGGCATTTCGTCCGTCTTAGTGTTAGTCGTCTTTCTTAGTCTTAGTTCTTAGCTATTGGGAAGTCATTTATATTTAATTTTAAAACAAAATAATAAAAACTTTTAATTGATAGTAGAGGATGGATGGTTCAGGCGAAATAATTTATTTTAAACCTAGGAATCTACCTCATTGCTTTTTTTTAGAATCATTGATTTAAAATATTTTATTTCTTATGCCATCTTATGCCATATTGACTGCACGGATGGCGTAGTGGTTTAAGCGGTCGCCACGCCGCTTCCTACTACGCCGAGTGTTGTGGGTTCAAACCCCACATGGGACGACACTTTGTGTGATCCACAAATTGTTGTTCTGAGTCTGGGTGTTCTTTGTGTCCGTTTCATGTATGTTTGTAAAGTCCCCCGCGACACAGGATTTATTCCTAATGCGGGAGTTGTCTTTAAAAAAAAAAAAAAAAAAAAATCATAATAATTATATGTATATACTATAAAGATAATAATAATATAATAATAATATTGTACCACATTCACACAACGCCATCTAGTTCCCAAACAAAGCAGATCTTGTACTATGGGTACTAGACAACTGAAATAAATACATAATATATATACTTTTTTTTTGTAAATACACACATATTATACATAAAAACACCCAGACCAAAACATTAAATGTTCATGCACACAAATGTTTGACTTGGGGGGGAATCGAACCCGTGACTTTTGGAATAGCAGTCCGTTACACAAACCACTACGCCATTCGGTCGTCAAAAGATACTTCCACCTTATGCCGGTTAAAACCCGGTTTTAGGACCTCTTCAAATTGTTCTCCACGCATCGTATAACGACTATTTAACATTTTTAAAAGTGGTACGCTTTTAAAGAGATACTTTCTCCAAGAGATCATGTTATCTATTCTTTCGACGGGCCTGTTGGTCTAGTAGTTAGTGACTCTGACAGGTAAGCCGGACGTCGTAGGTTCGATTCCCACCCGGGATAAATATTTGTGTGATGAGCACGATCGTTTTTTCTGTGTCTGGGTGTAATTTATCTATAATATGTATGTATTTGGAAATATATACGTATATTTATCAGCAGTCTGGTTACCGTAGCACAGGCTCTGCCTTTAAGTGACTCGGGTGAGTCGCTTAAAATCAAGTGATGAAGCGTGGGAGTACTTCCTTTTTAGGGTACACCTGGTTTCCCGTCTTATAGCACCCGAGATGGCGTGCGGTGTTTAATCGGTTCTAGTCCGATAAAACCACCCCACCGGTGGGTGGTATCCGAGGGGATTTCCACACAGTTTAAATTCGGAGCTGATGATGCATTTATTCGTTGCATGCATGTGTTGCATATACTTAATCAAAAACATAATAGAAAATTTCACGTGTCTGCTTTTCATTTTACAGCAAAACATCAAAATTAAAATATTTGTATCATTCTAACCATTAATGGTTTAAATTATATTTATGAACAGTATATTTTCATGTTCTTTGAGAATATTCGTAGATCTGTAACTGTTTCGTAGCCTTTAAGCTACGAGGCTACGACCGCATTAAGCTGTACTTAATTTTTAATAAAGTATTCTTAAATTTTAATTAGATTGTCTGTCAATGTAGCTTACGTAGATAGTATTGCGTAGATACTAGATGTAATATAATAAGATACAAAAAACATGTATTAAATTTTAAAACGGCAGTCAAATTAATTTCATTTTTTTAATTAAAAATGTCGTTTACTTTTATTTTGTGAATTACATTGTCACTTTAATAGGTTTTATATTTTAATAGGTACTGGTGTAATAAAGAAACTCATGTGACAAAAAATACATACATGAACCCCGGAGTGTAATTTTACTCCTTTTTTGAGGATAGTGTAATAAGGTTAACTATGGTTTTCAGGATAGAGAAGATAATGTGCCCGCCAGGCGGCTCTATATCATTCACTATTTACTGTGCTCTTCTTCTTTAAAACTTTTCATAGTTATACTCGTATTTAAGACTAGAGCTTCAATCAGAAATGAATTTATTACTTCATGAATAAAAGCAACAACTGTATCATATTATGTCAAATTAGGCAGAGGCTGTACGATAACCAGATCTCGATAAACATACTTATATATTTTTAAATACATATGTTAATATATAACACAAAATCAGGATAATTACATCATTTATAACTTAATTGATTTTTATAATCTTTGATTTGTTGTAGTTTTGCTTGCTTCGAGTAGCAAAATAATTGATAAAATTTTATAAATAACAAAATATGGAGAAAGTGAGGAAACAACCCGTCTGGCCAGCGTGGTATAGTAGTCCAAAATCTCTTTTCTAAGGAGAGGCCTATGTCCAGCAGTGGACTATTATAGGCTGTTGATGTGAGGAACTATTGCTAAAAGTGCAGGTAAATGCTTGTTACAAATAAACACAACACAACAAATAATCATGCTCATCACAAAATAATTTTATATGAAAGAAAGTTTTAATGATAGATCTAAATTAATAATATTGTATTAACATTTTGTAACTCCAGTCAATATGTTTGTACTTATTACACACTTACTATCGACATTACGCTCTCCTCACAGTGACTGGCGATATTAGAAGGGGCATGGAAGACAATAAGGTTACAGTACTAGTCTTAGTCGACTTCTCTAATGCTTTCGGCACCGTCAATTACGAAATCCTACTATGTATCCTCACACATCTGATGATTCCCACAGAGGCACTGGAATGGTTCTCCACCTATGGTGCGACCTCCTCTCTGGCGGCACACAAGGCGGAATATTATCTCCTCTTTTATTTTCAATATTTATTAATCTCATGCACACTCCTGGTTGAAGTCAGGATGTCCACAAACCGTTCCGTATTTAAAAAGAAAGTACACAACCTTTTTCTTAATGAGACGGAAGAATCATCGAATCGATAGTGCAGCAACCAATTTTCCTACACTCGTGTAGATATATATATATATATATATATATATATATATATAATATATATCTACACACATACAGACATATATTCGCATTATATTCGTACACCACGATTAGTGTGTATCCTCAATGTACGAGTAACTTTTAAATTCGTACAACATTAATTTGGACCTATAGGTACATAACTTTACACTACATTTTACCTATCTTCTAACTTTATCTTTTTAGGTCAAACTGTGCCCCTGGAAAGTGTAACCTGCCTGTAACCATGACCGTATAAGTATGTATATGCAATTAAATATCCTAACTATTGCATTAATTTTAATTAATGGAATAATTACTTGCGTGTACATGGAACTTGAAAAAAAGAAAAATTAAAAATAAACAAACAGACTTTGAATATTGCATTTTATTACTATTTTAGTAGTAGTTTAGCTTACTTTAGTAATTTGAGCGAGTGAAACGGGTTCCCAAGATTGTGGGAGTTCCTTAATTGCATATGAATTTGCTATATGTTCACTGATAAACGGACAAATCACTTAGACGAGGCAGGCAGGATGCCGTCAGATAAGAATTTCCCAAAAC